GCAGACTACTAAAGATAGACATAAATCTGGACCAGAGTCAGTATTTTGTTGCTAGACTAGCATTGACAAACATATATCCTGACCGCAGTTAACATTTTTTGTGTGGGGATAAACTTTCAAAGACATCCAACTATCTCGTCCATCAGGTAGAAGATTTGGAGGTTGCTTATAACTGTTTGGATGATGTCATAGAGAAATGGAGAAGAGCCGATGCTTGGATATATGGCAGAATCATCGCTGCTTCTACAGATGAAACACTATGTGAACTGGAATCTATGTATGTCATTGCTGTTTATTATAAAGGTTTCGTCTTGTTTTCCTGCTTGGTCTCTGTAAAATTTCTTGCCAGTGATTTAGATGTAATCGTATTTTTAAAATAGGAAACACTCATTGAGAAAACCTGATAATAGTATCACTAGAGAGTTCTTGCACTGGAACCACAAGGCAAAAGAAATAAGATAGAGGGAGACTAAAATACACATGGATAAGAGATGGGATATATGTAGACTAAAATACACATGGATAATAGATGTCATAAATGGGCCTTTGTACACAATGTAGCAGCCCACACCCCAGTTGAAGGTGTTTCCTTCGTGCCAAAGAACTGCATGGCTGTGAGGTAAAATTCACATGCATGCAGTGGCTCTCACAAAGGAAGAATGGTGATACATGAGCATTATCCACCATACCAAGAAGCTTTCATGAATACAGAGCCAGTATATGAGTCCCTGGTTCTGGGTTGACCTAAGTCATGTCCTACAGCTAAACACAACTGCTATAGTCTGGACTTGCGTGTATGTGTAATACAGCCTGCTCTTGTAGTGACCTGTAGGAATCAGTTTAGGGACTTTGATGACTTGGACAGTTGTTGTATCCGCACTGAATGTTGTCAACAATGGATCTCTAGCACTCTCATCCTGTGTGTGCACTTTCTCAGGCTGCTGTCTGTGCACTCTCTGAGGCTGCTGTTTGTGCACCCTATCAGGCTGCTGTTTGTGCACTCTCTCAGGCTGCTGTTTGTGCATCCTCTCAGGCTGCTGTTTGTGCACTCTCTCAAGCTGCTGTTTGTGCACCCTCTCAGGCTGCTGTTTGTGCTCTCTCTCAGGCTGCTGTTTATGCACCCTCTCAGGCTGCTGTTTGTGCTCTCTCTCTCTCATCCTGTTTGTTGTGCTCTCTCTCAGGCTGCTGTTTGTGCACTCACTCACATTCTGTTTGTGCACTCTTTTAGGCTGCTGATGGTGCACTCTCTCTCATCCTGTTTGTGCACTCTCTCAGGCTGCTGTTTGTGCACTCTCTCAGGCTGCTGTTTGTGCACTCTCTCAGGCTGCTGTATGTGCACTCTCTCAGGCTGCTGTTTGTGCACTCTCTCAGGCTGCTGTTTGTGCACTCTCTCAGGCTGCTGTTTATCCATCTCTTGATGTTATTCTCCAACTTGCATTTCCTACCTTTAACTCCTCTCTCTGCTTCTGAGTTTTCAACTTGGCCATCAACAACATGAACAATAAAAGGGCTCTGTCCAACACAATATTCTTACCAGCACTAAGCTCTCAAAGACATTGTCTTCTTAAGAAAAATAGGCACGAAAGAAATCAAAATCCCCTTAGCGACGATGATAGAAGGAGAATCTGTGCACGACCAATACTGAAGTTAATCGGTTGACAACAAATCAAATGGTTTGGCCATGTAACAAGACTGGCAACAAACAAGGTACCACAGAGAGTGATGTTATACAGATACAGCAGTTAACAGAGGCAGAGTTCGACCATACAGAAGATGGTTTGTGGAAATATCAAAGACATTGAAATGTACTATGTACTAAATGAACAAAAGGGCCTGTTCCAGAGATCTCTTGCTGTCCTGACACCACGAGGCATTCCAGGAGCAGAGGAGAAAAGGGCCTGTTCCAGAGATCTCTTGCTGTCCTGACACCACGAGGCATTCCAAGAGTAGAGGAGAAAAGGGCCTTCTTTACCACGAGGCATTCCAAAGTAGAGGAGAAAAGGGCCTGCAGAGCATTGACACCACGAGGCATTCCAAGAGTAGAGGAGAAAAGGGCCTGTTCCATTCTCTTGCTGTCACGAGTTCCAGGAGCAGAGGAGCTCTTTCTTCCAGTTAAATGGCGCTGATTGAATGTGACGTTTTGGCGCATGGAATGTGACGTGGCACGGTCGGGCCTTCCTTCAGTTGATTCAAATGTCTGCACCTTCAGTTGGACAACCGGAGTATTGCTTCTATTTAGAGACACTTGTCATATCCCAGGCTCAGTCATGAGAAACACAATGAGACACTTGTCATATCACAGGCTCAGTTATGAGAAACACAATGAGACACTTATCATATCCCAGGCTCAGTCATGAGAAACACAATGAGACACTTGTCATATCACAGGCTCAGTTATGAGAAACACAATGAGACACTTGTCATATCACAGGCTCAGTTATGAGAAACACAATGAGACACTTGTCATATCACAGGCTCAGTCATGAGAAACACAATGAGACACTTGTCATATCACAGGCTCAGTCTTGAGAAACACAAACAAATATGAAGGCAGCAAGCCACATCCCAAGAAATAGTTTAGTTATTGTACTCTCTGTGATAGGTCCTCACTGTACTGTCTGTGATAGGTTCTCAATGTACTCTCTGTGATAGGTCCTCACTATACTCTCTGTGATAGGTCCTCACTGTACTCTCTATGATAGGTCCTTACTATACTCTCTATGATAGGTCCTTACTGAACTCTCTGTGATAGGTCCTCACTGTACTCTCTGTGATAGGTCCTCACTGTACTCTCTGTGATAGGTCCTCACTGTACTCTCTGTGATAGGTTCTCACTATACTCTCTGTGATAGGTCCTCACTGTACTCTCTGTGATAGGTCCTCACTGTACTCTCTGTGATAGGTTCTCACTTTACTCTCTGTGATAGGTTCTCACTTTACTCTCTGTGATAGGTCCTCACTGTACTCTCTGTGACAGGTCCTTACTGTACTCTCTGTGATAGGTCCTTACTGTACTCTCTGTGAAAGGTCCTCACTGTACTCTCTGTAATAGGTCCTCACTGTACTCTCTGTGATAGGTCCTCACTATACTCTCTGTGATAGGTCCTCACTGTACTCTCTGTGATAGGTCCTCACTGTACTCTCTGTGATAGGTCCTCACTGTACTCTCTGTGATAGGTCCTCACTGTACTCTCTGTGATAGGTCCTCACTGTACTCTCTGTGATAGGTCCTCACTGTACTCTCTGTGATAGGTCCTCACTGTACTCTCTGTGAAAGGTCCTCACTGTACTCTCTGTGAAAGGTCCTCACTGTACTCTCTGTGAAAGGTCCTCACTGTACTCTCTGTGAAAGGTCCTCACTGTACTCTCTGTGATAGGTGCTCACTGTACTCTCTGTTATAGGTGCTCTCTGTACTCTCTGTGATAGGTGCTCTCTGTACTCTCTGTGATAGGTGCTCACTGTACTCTCTGTGATAGGTGCTCACTGTACTCTCTGTGATAGGTCCTCACTGTACTCTCTGTGATAGGTCCTCACTGTACTCTCTGTGATAGGTCCTCACTGTACTCTCTGTGATAGGTCCTCACTGTACTCTCTGTGATAGGTCCTCACTGTACTCTCTGTGATAGGTGCTCTCTATATTCTCTGTGATAGGTGCTCTCTATATTCTCTGTGATAGGTGCTCTCTATATTCTCTGTGATAGGTGCTCTCTGTACTCTCTGTGATAGGTGCTCTCTGTACTCTCTGTGATAGGTGCTCTCTGTACTCTCTGTGATAGGTGCTCTTTGTACTCTCTGTGATAGGTCCTCTCTGTACTCTCTGTGATAGGTCCTCACTGTACTCTCTGTGATAGGTCCTCACTGTACTCTCTGTGATAGGTCCACACTGTACTCTCTGTGATAGGTCCTCACTGTACTCTCTGTGATAGGTTCTCACTGTACTCTCTGTGATAGGTCCTCACTGTACTCTCTGTGATAGGTCCTCACTGTACTCTCTGTGATAGGTCCTCACTGTACTCTCTGTGATAGGTCCTCACTGTACTCTCTGTGAAAGGTCCTCACTGTACTCTCTGTGAAAGGTCCTCACTGTACTCTCTGTGAAAGGTCCTCACTGTACTCTCTGTGATAGGTGCTCACTGTACTCTCTGTGATAGGTGCTCTCTGTACTCTCTGTGATAGGTGCTCTCTGTACTCTCTGTGATAGGTGCTCACTGTACTCTCTGTGATAGGTGCTCACTGTACTCTCTGTGATAGGTCCTCACTGTACTCTCTGTGATAGGTCCTCACTGTACTCTCTGTGATAGGTCCTCACTGTACTCTCTGTGATAGGTCCTCACTGTACTCTCTGTGATAGGTCCTCACTGTACTCTCTGTGATAGGTCTCTCTCTCTGTGATAGGTGCTCTCTATATTCTCTGTGATAGGTGCTCTCTATATTCTCTGTGATAGGTGCTCTCTGTACTCTCTGTGATAGGTGCTCTCTGTACTCTCTGTGATAGGTGCTCTCTGTACTCTCTGTGATAGGTGCTCTCTGTACTCTCTGTGATAGGTGCTCACTGTACTCTCTGTGATAGGTGCTCTCTGTACTCTCTGTGATAGGTCCTCACTGTACTCTCTGTGATAGGTCCTCACTGTACTCTCTGTGATAGGTCCTCACTGTACTCTCTGTGATAGGTCCTCACTGTACTCTCTGTGATAGGTCCTCACTGTACTCTCTGTGATAGGTCCTCACTGTACTCTCTGTGATAGGTCCTCACTGTACTCTCTGTGATAGGTCCTCACTGTACTCTCTGTGATAGGTTCTCACTGTACTCTCTGTGATAGGTCCTCACTGTACTCTCTGTGATAGGTCCTCACTGTACTCTCTGTGATAGGTCCTCACTGTACTCTCTGTGATAGGTCCTCACTGTACTTTCTGTGATAGGTCCTTACTGTATTCCTTAGTCAACAAACTCAGTTGTATTTCTCCTAAATAAGACATTGATCATCTCCTGCCTTTACAGGTTCTGCAAATATTTTGATGTCCTGACAAATGTGACTAAGCAGCTCTCCAAAGAAGTTGCAGATGATACAACAGCAGCCGTCACAAAGAAGATACATGAGATACAGAATCAAGTTTATTCAATGTAAGTAGTCACTGCTACAAAATTCCATTTATAGGTTTATTTACATCAAGTTTGGGATCTTTACCGACCTTGTGGTTTAAGTTTATGTTCATCAAGTTTGGGATCTTTACCAACCTTGTGGTTTAGGTTTATGTTCATCAGGTTTGGGATCTTTACCGACCTTGTGGTTAAGTTTATGTTCATCAAGTTTGGGATCTTTGCCAACCTTGTGGTTTAGGTTTATTAAAAAAGTTGAGGATTGTTACACACGTTACACATGATACACAGGTTACACGTTACACAGGTTACATATATTACACAGGTTACACAGGTTACACAGGTTACACAGGTTACAGGTTACACAGGTTACACATGTTACACAGGTTACAGGTTACACAGGTTACAGGTTATAGGTTACACAGGTTACACAGGTTACACATGTTACACAGGTTACACAGGTTACAGGTTACACAGGTTACACAGGTTACAGGTTACACAGGTTACACAGGTTACACAGGTTACACACGTTACACACGTTACACAGGTTACAGGTTACACAGGTTACAGGTTACACAGGTTACACAGGTTACAGGTTACACAGGTTACAGGTTACACAGGTTATAGGTTACACAGGTTACAGGTTACACAGGTTACACAGGTTACACAGGTTACACAGGTTACACAGGTTACACAGGTTACAGGTTACACAGGTTACACAGGTTACACAGGTTACAGGTTACAGGTTACACAGGTTACACAGGTTACACAGGTTACACAGGTTACACAGGTTACAGGTTACACAGGTTACACAGGTTACACAGGTTACAGGTTACACAGGTTACAGGTTACACAGGTTACACAGGTTACACAGGTTACACAGGTTACAGGTTACACAGGTTACAGGTTACACAGGTTACACAGGTTACACAGGTTACACAGGTTTTACAGGTTACACAGGTTACACAGGTTACACAGGTTACACAGGTTACACAGGTTACACATGTTACACAGGTTACAGGTTACACAGGTTACACAGGTTACACAGGTTACAGGTTACACAGGTTACACAGGTTACAGGTTACACAGGTTACACAGGTTACAGGTTACACAGGTTACAGGTTACACAGGTTACAGGTTACACAGGTTACAGGTTACACAGGTTACACAGGTTACACATGTTACAGGTTACACAGGTTACACAGGTTACACAGGTTACACAGGTTACACAGGTTACACAGGTTACACATGTTACAGGTTACAGGTTACAGGTTACACAGGTTACAGGTTACACAGGTTACAGGTTACACAGGTTACAGGTTACAGGTTACACAGGTTACAGGTTACAGGTTACACAGGTTACAGGTTACAGGTTACACAGGTTACAGGTTACAGGTTACAGGTTACACAGGTTACACAGGTTACACAGGTTACAGGTTACACAGGTTACACAGGTTACACAGGTTACACAGGTTACACATGTTACAGGTTACACAGGTTACACAGGTTACAGGTTACACAGGTTACACAGGTTACACAGGTTACAGGTTACAGGTTACACAGGTTACAGGTTACAGGTTACACAGGTTACACAGGTTACACAGGTTACAGGTTACACAGGTTACAGGTTACACAGGTTACACAGGTTACAGGTTACACAGGTTACAGGTTACACAGGTTAAACAGGTTACAGGTTACACAGGTTACAGGTTACACAGGTTACACAGGTTACAGGTTACACAGGTTACACAGGTTACACAGGTTACAGGTTACACAGGTTACACAGGTTACACAGGTTACAGGTTACACAGGTTACACAGGTTACAGGTTACACAGGTTACAGGTTACACAGGTTACACAGGTTACAGGTTACACAGGTTACACAGGTTACAGGTTACACAGGTTACAGGTTACACAGGTTACACAGGTTACACAGGTTACACAGGTTACACAGGTTACAGGTTACACAGGTTACACAGGTTACACAGGTTACACAGGTTACAGGTTACACAGGTTACACAGGTTACACAGGTTACAGGTTACACAGGTTACACAGGTTACAGGTTACACAGGTTACAGGTTACACAGGTTACAGGTTACACAGGTTACAGGTTACACAGGTTACACAGGTTACACAGGTTACACAGGTTACACAGGTTACAGGTTACACAGGTTACAGGTTACACAGGTTACACAGGTTACACAGGTTACAGGTTACAGGTTACACAGGTTACACAGGTTACACAGGTTACACAAGTTACACAGGTTACACAAGTTACACAAGTTACACACGTTACACAGGTTACATATATTACACAGGTTACACAAGTTACACAGGTTACATATTTTACACAGGTTACATATATTACACAGGTTACATATATTACACAGGTTACATATATTACACAGGTTACATATATTACACAGGTTACATATATTACACAGGTTACATATATTACACAGGTTACATATATTACACAGGTTACATATATTACACAGGTTACATATATTACACAGGTTACACAAGTTACACAGGTTACATATATTACACAGGTTACATATATTACACAGGTTACACAGGTTACACAGGTTACACACGTTACACACGTTACACACGTTACACAGGTTACACACGTTACACACGTTAAACACGTTACACAGGTTACACACTTTACACACGTTAAACACGTTAAACACGTTACACAAGTTACACAGGTTACACACGTTATATGTGAAGCTTGTGCTCTTGAGAAGTAGGAAAGTTCTACCCCACCAGGACATCACACAAGCGATAAACACCCGGTGACACAAAGTGCCACAATGTGGATGAGGATCACCCGTGGAAAGGTCCAGAAACCCTGTTCAGCCGTTAGGCCATATTATTGGCCAGGCTATATTTAGAGCCCTCTGCTCAAGCCGAGGTGGGTCTTCAAAATAACCCCCCAAAAATTGCATCCTATGGGTTCTAATGGTCTGCTTTTAAGATGAGGATATTTACAAGTAAGGATAATCCTGTGTTTCAGGTTTGTGTTCATTGATCATTTATAAACTGGAGTATTCACATGTCTATGTTTATATTGCAGTGCTTGGCACATGAACCAGAAACTGCAGCTGTGTGTTTTAGAAACAAAACCGATAAGTATGTCTATGAGGTAAGATTGTGAGATCCTTCTAGGAATCGGTTCATTTTACGTTTTCCATCCCAGAAAGAGAGTGACTTCCCTTACTATTCATGCCTCATTGGGTCGCAGGACCTCTCGTGTGTTGTGGCATTGTTATGATATGGCTTGGTTTGGCATTCGGGCGGCATATATGATGTTTGTGGGGGGGGTTGTGTTGTCCTGTGTCTGTTTCAGGTGTCGCAGGCACATGTGTATAAGTAAAAAGTACTGCAGGGGAAGTGCCTCAGGCTTGATAATTCTTGAGTATTGAAACTGTGATGTTTTTGTATTTCTACGTTCGTTGGGGGTGGCTTTCTCCCCAAGAGAAAGAAAGCATTTACAAGGAGCGTAGGAATCGAAAAATATCGCTATTTTCATAGTCCTTAACTGTTGCATGTACAAATAATCACGGAAGGGAGCGGTGAGAAGACGAGAAAAGAGTTACCGGTTAAAGCATTGACAATAAGGAAATCATGACACCCCGCAACATAGGAGAGGTCCTGTGACCCGAAGAGGCATGAATGGGAAGGGAAGTCACTCTCTTTCTGGGCCATGACATGTAAAATTAACCTAGTTATCATGCTTGTTACCTACATATGTGTCTGAAAAGTGAAGGATCTTGTCTAGTAATCATATGTGTGTAACCTACATGTTTGTCTGTATTTTTCTCTTAGATATGATTGTGATCTGCACAAACAAACACCCCAGTGTTCATTTTAACATAAGCCAGCGTTCCTGGGACTGAGGAGAAAAACAGACAGTGTTACTTACTGTGTATGTCAGTATACCAACCTGTCATAGGTATACCAAACTGTCTGACAGTTTCACCATGCAGATGCAACAGTAAATCACCTCTTCAGCATTCTCCCTTGAAACTGCAGTTGGAATGTTGTATTATGGCTAGGCTGCAACATCTGCACATGTCCAGTTTTAGCAAACCCCTATTTAGCCACATTTTATTTATTTGTTTATTTTTAAATCTGTGTGGAAAAGGAAAACAAAAAGGAAAAGGGGGGGGGGGGGGGGGGGTAGGAACCCCAGAACCTCCAAAATTCAACATCATAATAAATGGGTCAAGTTCAATATGTTTAAGTGCTTGGGTACCCTGACAACATTAGAACAAATTGGACAGTGTCGATACATTTAAGTACATGGGTTCTCTGATAACATCAGATGTATTAAAGAAGTTAAATCTAGAATAGAGAGATCGAAGCAAGAATCCAACAATGTTGCATACCAGCTTGCCCCAATTTTAAAACACCCTGCTGTCCCAGATGAGATAAAAAGACAAATTATAAATACAATCTTTATACCGACATTAGGTTATCAATGTCAGACTTGGACATTAACAAAAGAACACTAGAGAAGACTAACCACCTGTGAAATGAGATGTTTGAGAATGGCTGCGAATAAAACCAGAAGAGATCGAGTGAGAAACGATATCTTCTTCTTCTTCTTCTTACAAGAACTATTGGAACCATACCCATCGTTAAATTTATTGAGAAGCAAAGAATTAAATGGTTTGGTCACCTAATGAGAATGGAACCAACGATGCCAGCATCAAAAGCATACAACATGAAAATCGAAACACCAAGAGGCAGGGGAAGACCAAGAAGAAGATGGATTGAAGGAGTCACGGACAACTTGAGACTTCATAACATCACCGCATATGAAGCGACTGAGCGCACCCTGGCTCGGTTGCCGATCATCTGATGGACTGCGACGCCTAGCGGCACAAGCAGATTTTGACAAAAGAAGAAAGAAATCTAGAATAGCTAAATCAAAGGCAGCAATTCACAAAATGAAGAATATTTGAGGCACTCTTTCTTTATCAGTTGAGACAATAAGACAAATCTCAATAGCTATATAAATCTTATCCTGATAAATGGAAATGGCTTATGGATAGTTAGCCAATTGGTGAAAAATTATGCGGAAGCAGCAGAGGTATAGAATAATGGACCAATGATAAGAACTCCCAGGACAGAAAAAAAGCAGTCAAAAGATGACTCAAAAAGGCTGTTGAACAAGAAGATGCCCTATGTGGACACATATTGTATTCTTAGTACCTCCAATTCTCTTTCTGTCATGCGTACTGTCCTGTTTGTTAAAAACTAAGAAATATTTATTTACCTCTACAAAATGTATACAAATGCTTAAAAAAAAATTTTAAAAGAAAAGGACTAAGTCTGAGAAAGCTATGCATGGATGCAGGCAAAATAAACAAGGCAGCAAAAATACAGCACTAAAAGAAGCAATAATTACTTAAACCTACAGAAGTAAAACAAGATGGCTGACCAATCAGATGACAAAAGGCTGGCTCAGTCCTTCCCAGGACTCCTCTGAATAAACAGAGGGAGGTGGGGCACCCTTAAAACATTATATATAATTTAAAAAATAGTGTATTAATTGGCACTCATAGAAAGAAGTAGAAAGACAAAAAGATACACTAAACAGTATAAAAATTGAAGTCTTTAGTTATTGTGCTCGGAATCAGAGCTGTCACCTCCAAATGACATCTTTGCCTGGCTATGAAAAGAAGTTTACTAAGGTACATGACCAACTAGGCACTCTTGAACGCAATGGCATACATACACTGATATTGAACAACACATACTTTTCCCTCTATTAGGGACTTGTACTGAGTGTTATAGATTACGATCTGGTCCTCCTCACTGTCAGAGGAACCCCAGCAAGACTGGAGGGAGCATAAAGTGAGGCCATGAGACTCACACTCAGCTGCACAAAAGACGCTTCCTGCCCCTCCATGTGGTATGTCCTGGGTTTACCGGTGATGGCCACCAGACACAAAGTGGCACAGGTTAGGTGTCTGTGAAAACAGCAGAAGTCAGCCAACTTCTGCACAACACTATCAATGATATAAAAGTGATGCATCTCAAAAAAGGCTGTTCCTCAATGGCCGATGCAGAAAATCAAATCCAGCAAGTATATGTGACCTAGATGAGAACAGTCACGGAAAAGAATGAAGGGATGCACCAGTAGACATGCATGACTTGTCTAAGGTTGTGAGAGTCAGATACCTACCACCGTAGACGCCAAGATAAGGGCACTGATTGATCAATATTCACACAAAGAAGACATCGTCATTTGCACAGATGACTCTGTGAAATGTGGCTCAAGATTAGCATGGGCATATACAGCACAAAGGAGGGGGGAAACAATCAATCATAGCCGTACTCACCAGACAACTGCGTCAAGCATGACCATGGAGATAACGGCAGCTTCCAGAGCACTCACATGGGTTGCAGAACAAGCGGCTACAATTGCAGTCATAATTTCAGACTCTGTGAACATGCTTCAGAAAATTGCAACAGGTAGTCTTTGCTCTGAATGGGTAGAAAGCATTAGGAAGTTGCACTTAATCTCTATCATTTGGATCTGCAGGCCTGGGCACGCAGGAGTAATTGGTGATGAAAGAGCTGACTAGCTGGCAAGTAATGCACCAATGCAAATGGGAAGAAGCATGGACAGAGCTGACATCACCAACTCTGTACTGACTAGACTGGGGGGGGGGGGGGGGGGGGATAATGGTAAATCTCTGATGCTGTGGAAAGTTTGAGACTGGGGGGGATAATGGTAAATCTCTGATGTTGTGGAAAGTTTGAGACTGGGGGGGGATAATGGTAAATCTCTGATGCTGTGGAAAGTTTGAGACTGGGGGGGATAATGGTAAATCTCTGATGCTGTGGAAAGTTTGAGACTGGGGGGGATAATGGTAAATCTCTGATGTTGTGGAAAGTTTGAGACTGGGGGGGGGGGGGGATAATGGTAAATCTCTGATGCTGTGGAAAGTTTGAGAACCTTTCTGGTAGACTCTGCTGTTCTGAGATGTGACAATGTATTCTCAGATGACATTTGTCCTGAGCTTGTGTCCCACTGGTTAATTGTCAGTCATCAACAACTCCCAGAAGGCATTCAGCTGTCTTCATATTTACTTTCAGAGCATTTGTACTTCAGAAGAAAGATATTCAAGCAGTTGAAATACACATCTTCCCTGAGTCTGATTATGATAAACGACTCAGTGACAAGGTAGGTCTCTAGCGTTTTTGCCAGTTATTTTTATGTGACCTTATACAGCAGATATAGTTGTTGAGAAGAATACAAAGGGTGTCATGGAGTGATAGAAAAACAAGTACTGACAGTAGAGATATGGTTGTTAAGAAGAATACAAAGGATATCATGGAGTGATAGAAAAACAAGTACTGACAGTAGAGATATGGTTGTTGAGAAGAATACAAAGGATATCATGGAGTGATAGAAAAACAAATGAGGATGTACTCTACAGGACGAATTAAATTCCTAAACTGGTAGGAACAGTTTGACGCAGATAGTCAGTGTTTTTTGGACAGGTTACACTTGATGGAAAGAGAATTTGGTAACAACTGGCGAGATTGATGGAAAGAGAACTTGGTAACAACTGGCGAGATTGATGGAAAGAGAACTTGATAACAACAGGCGAGATTGATGGAAAGAGAACTTGGTAACAACTAGCGAGATTGATGGAAAGAGAACTTGGTAACAACTGGCGAGATTGATGGAAAGAGAACTTGGTAACAACTGGCGAGATTGATGGAAAGAGAACTTGGTAACAACTGGCGAGATTGATGGAAAGAGAACTTGGTAACAACTGGCAAGATTGATGGAAAGAGAACTTGATAACAACTAGCGAGATTGATGGAAAGAGAACTTGGTAACAACTGGCGAGATTGATGGAAAGAGAACTTGGTAACAACTGGCGAGATTGATGGAAAGAGAACTTGGTAACAACTGGCGAGATTGATGGAAAGAGAACTTGGTAACAACTGGCAAGATTGATGGAAAGAGAACTTGGTAACAACTGGCAAGATTGATGGAAAGAGAACTTGGTAACAACTGGCGAGATTGATGGAAAGAGAACTTGGTAACAACTGGCGAGATTGATGGAAAGAGAACTTGGTAACAACTGGAGAGATTGATGGAAAGAGAGCTTGGCAACAACTGGCGAGATTGATGGAAAGAGAACTTGGTAACAACTGGCGAGATTGATGGAAAGAGAGCTTGGTAACAACTGGCGAGATTGATGGAAAGAGAGCTTGGTAACAACTGGCGAGATTGATGGAAAGAGAACTTGGTAACAACTGGCGAGATTGATGGAAAGAGAACTTGGTAACAACTGGCGAGATTGATGGAAAGAGAACTTGGTAACAACTGGCGAGATTGATGGAAAGAGAGCTTGGTAACAACTGGCGAGATTGATGGAAAGAGAGCTTGGTAACAACTGGCGAGATTGATGGAAAGAGAACTTGGTAACAACTGGCGAGATTGATGGAAAGAGAACTTGGTAACAACTGGCGAGATTGATGGAAAGAGAACTTGGTAACAACTGGCGAGATTGATGGAAAGAGAACTTGGTAACAACTGGCGAGATTGATGGAAAGAGAACTTGATAACAACTGGCGAGATTGATGGAAAGAGAACTTGATAACAACTGGCGAGATTGATGGAAAGAGAGCTTGGTAACAACTGGCGAGATTGATGGAAAGAGAACTTGGTAACAACTGGCGAGATTGATGGAAAGAGAACTTGATAACAACTGGCGAGATTGATGGAAAGAGAACTTGGTAACAACTGGCGAGATTGATGGAAAGAGAACTTGGTAACAACTGGCGAGATTGATGGAAAGAGAGCTTGGTAACAACTGGCAAGATTGATAGAAAGAGAACTTGGTAACAACTGGCGAGATTGATGGAAAGAGAGCTTGGTAACAACTGGCGAGATTGATGGAAAGAGAGCTTGGTAACAACTGGCGAGATTGATCGAAAGAGAACTTGGTAACAACTGGCGAGATTGATGGAAAGAGAGCTTGGTAACAACTGGCGAGATTGATGGAAAGAGAACTTGGTAACAACTGGCGAGATTGATGGAAAGAGAACTTGGTAACAACTGGTGAGATTGATGGAAAGAGAACTTGGTAACAACTGGCGAGATTGATGGAAAGAGAGCTTGGTAACAACTGGCGAGATTGATGGAAAGAGAGCTTGGTAACAACTGGCGAGATTGATGGAAAGAGAACTTGGTAACAACTGGCGAGATTGATGGAAAGAGAACTTGGTAACAACTGGCGAGATTGATGGAAAGAGAACTTGATAACAACTGGCGAGATTGATGGAAAGAGAACTTGGTAACATCTGGCGAGATTGATGGAAAGAGAACTTGGTAACAACTGGCGAGATTGATGGAAAGAGAACTTGGTAACAACTGGCGAGATTGATGGAAAGAGAGCTTGGTAACAACTGGCGAGATTGATGGAAAGAGAGCTTGGTAACAACTGGCGAGATTGATGGAAAGAGAGCTTGGTAACAACTGGCGAGATTGATGGAAAGAGAACTTGGTAACAACTGGCGAGATTGATGGAAAGAGAACTTGGTAACAACTGGCGAGATTTATGGAAAGAGAACTTGGTAACAACTGGCGAGATTGATGGAAAGAGAACTTTGTAACAACTGGCGAGATTGATGGAAAGAGAGCTTGGTAACAACTGGCGAGATTGATGGAAAGAGAACTTGGTAACAACTGGCGAGATTGATGGAAAGAGAACTTGGTAACAACTGGCGAGATTGATGGAAAGAGAACTTGGTAACAACTGGCGAGATTGATGGAAAGAGAGCTTGGTAACAACTGGCGAGATTGATGGAAAGAGAACTTGGTAACAACTGGCGAGATTGATGGAAAGAGAACTTGGTAACAACTGGCGAGATTGATGGAAAGAGAACTTGGTAACAACTGGCGAGATTGATGGAAAGAGAGCTTGGTAACAACTGGCGAGATTGATGGAAAGAGAGCTTGGTAACAACTGGCGAGATTGATGGAAAGAGAGCTTGGTAACAACTGGCGAGATTGATCGAAAGAGAACTTGGTAACAACTGGCGAGATTGATGGAAAGAGAACTTGGTAACAACTGGCGAGATTGATGGAAAGAGAACTTGGTAACAACTGGTGAGATTGATGGAAAGAGAACTTGGTAACAACTGGCGAGATTGATGGAAAGAGAGCTTGGTAACAACTGGCGAGATTGATGGAAAGAGAACTTGGTAACAACTGGCGAGATTGATGGAAAGAGAGCTTGGTAACAACTGGCGAGATTGATGGAAAGAGAACTTGGTAACAACTGGCGAGATTGATGGAAAGAGAACTTGGTAACAACTGGCGAGATTGATGGAAAGAGAGCTTGGTAACAACTGGCGAGATTGATGGAAAGAGAGCTTGGTAACAACTGGCGAGATTGATGGAAAGAGAGCTTGGTAACAACTGGCGAGATTGATGGAAAGAGAACTTTATAACAACTGGCGAGATTGATGGAAAGAGAACTTGGTAACAACTGGCGAGATTGATGGAAAGAGAGCTTGGTAACAACTGGCGAGATTGATGGAAAGAGAACTTGGTAACAACTGGCGAGATTGATGGAAAGAGAACTTGGTAAGAACTGGCGAGATTGATGGAAAGAGAACTTGGTAACAACTGGCGAGATTGATGGAAAGAGAGCTTGGTAACAACTGGTGAGATTGATGGAAAGAGAGCTTGGTAACAACTGGCGAGATTGATGGAAAGAGAACTTGGTAACAACTGGCGAGATTGATGGAAAGAGAACTTGGTAACAACTGGCGAGATTGATGGAAAGAGAGCTTGGTAACAACTGGCGAGATTGATGGAAAGAGAGCTTGGTAACAACTGGCGAGATTGATGGAAAGAGAACTTGGTAACAACTGGCGAGATTGATGGAAAGAGAACTTGGTAACAACTGGCGAGATTGATGGAAAGAGAGCTTGGTAACAACTGGCGAGATTGATGGAAAGAGAACTTGGTAACAACTGGCGAGATTGATGGAAAGAGAGCTTGGTAACAACTGGCGAGATTGATGGAAAGAGAACTTGGTAACAACTAGCGAGATTGATGGAAAGAGAACTTGGTAACAACTGGCGAGATTGATGGAAAGAGAGCAAAGAGAAGGCAAAGAGATGAATACCTGGATGGCCTGGCCAAACAGAGAGGGGAGAGACAAATGATGACTCTTCATTATCTACTGAAGAAGGGGACAGAGCATATGTGGGAATGTCCTGACTGCAGTGATGGCAATCCTTGATTGATTCTTTCATTCATCCAGGTACCTTTAAACTTTGGGGGCTGAGTGGTCTTGAGGCATGGCATCTGCCTTGAGTGCTGGAGGTCCTGGGTTCAAACCCTGGTGAAGGCAGGGATTTTTTCACAAGGGCTTCTAGTAATTTCCCCTGGTCTCTGGGTAGTCAGATTAGATGACTGTGTATACTGTTGTGCATGTGAAAAAAAAATGCCTTGGCAGAAAAAATAGCCTAACATTCCTGCCCTGGCAAAATGTTGAGTTAAAAATCTACCCAAAGTATTTCAGGATCCTCGCTGGTGCTACGGAGTTCCTGCACTTTGCTGAGATTCTTCGGACTCAGTCTTGAGCTAGAAGTAGAACGGAGCACTTAATGGTTACTACCTTTGTGCCATGATGTTTATCCATTGTTAAAACCTAAACCTGAACCTAAAACTTTTATACCTCAGGGTAATCTAGTAATCCTAGTTTCAGCTTCATAGCAAACGGGTCACCCCACAGTTGCTCCTCTCCTGTGCCAACGAAAAACTAACGCAGCTCACAGTGTCACGCCATGCACTCAACTCAGAAGCTGGGCGACGAAACTACATCCTTCCAGTCTATAAATGGAGCAAAAATGCAGCGGCCACCGAAACCTCAGGGTAGAAGAGGACATTACTCTAATATACCTCTTCACTAACAGGATAGAAAGAGTAGTTACTTTGGTTGAAGAATAGCATATGAATCTATTGTGGCTGGTTATGTTTAGAAATATACTGAGCATATTCAGACTTTAACTGTTTTTGTTTTTCTGTGTGGGTTTCTGGGGCCCCCTTTTTTGGAGGGGGGAGGGGGAGAGGATTTACCAACAGCCACCTTATTAGGCAGTTTCCTGTTGAGTTTCAAGAACCAACAGGACAGCATTTGGAACATTCCTATAAGCACTGTTCCTCATCTTCAACAGCCAGCAAAGAGTTCCAGCTCCGATGGTACCAGTAACAGTCTGGTCACTCCCCGTTGTACCACTCTCTTCAGGCTGGGATATTCAAATTGTATCTGCAGCAGATTAGGTGGAGAAAAAGCAGATTAGGTGGTTTGGCCATCTTGTTAGAATGCCGCAAGATCAAATACCATCACAAGCACTACATCTCAGAAGATCAGCTACAAGAGCAAGAGGACAGCCGCGGAAAATATGGATCGACAACATTAAAGACACTACGCTTTCACGGCATGACAATAGCCAGTGGCAGCCAACGTGCACTAGATCGCAAATTATTCCTCCCCACTACGCTTAACGGCAGAAGTGGTTTATGATGATGATGATCTCTGCCATGCTCACTCTCAAAGACCATTGACAGCTTGTCGTACATCAGTTTATCGCTGAGTGGCTCAGAACCAGCCAGTCTGCCTGTCTGTTAGTTTCCCCAACACCTGCATACCCTGAAGAAAATATCCAAAGGGAGCTAACTATCCTTGATCTCTGAAGTGATACACGCTACTCTGCCCGAAGCATACGTGTCTGTGTTTCTGTCTTCTTTCGTTTGCTTGAAATAGATTATCTATATCTGCTGCAATGTTGTCTCTAGTATAAACTTCACTGTCTTTTGTTGTGTTTCTGTCAAAATGTATCTGCATGAGAGGCAAGGCAGCAACAGTGTGCATAAAGATAAGCCAGATCTGTGAAACTGATGCACCTAAATCTCAAGTTCTGGAACAGGAGTAAAGTCAAAAAGTCGACAATCAACCAGACATTTCTGCCAGTCAATACTAAGAAGAAGAAGAACTCTTGCCCCCCACCATTGTTATACTCTGTGTATGATGTGAATTTTCTGTTGCTGTCATTTATCAACACATCTCATTTGCCTTAATTTCAGTACTTGTACCCAGGCATAAAGCCAGAAATAGTTGACTCAGGAAGTCAAGGAGCAATTGTGACGGTCAACAATTTAAAACTGAAGAAATGTGAACGAGCACAGAAGAGAAATTATGCCACGTGTTGTCAACAGTTCTATAGGGTTTCTTTCAGATTACAGTCTAAAGAAGGGCGGTGTGTGGAGGTAAGCAAACATTGGGTTGTGCCAGGTGTTGCCAACAGTTCTATATAGAATAGGTTCTGAACACTTATCTGTCAGAATGGACACCAAGTTGAACTCATGTCACCCATTGAGTGCTCTTTGGCCGACACAAATGCTATAGCATCGAATGCACCAGTGACCTGTAATGGGTCTCTTGCTTCTTCACTTTCTAAACTTAAATTTATCCGTGACTGTAGAATAGTTTCTCAACATATTTATCCGTGACTGTAGATTAGTTTCTTAACATATTTATTTGTGACTATAGAAAAGTTTCTGAACATATTTAACAATGACTAAAGAATAGTTTCTGAACATATTTATGCATGACTATAAAATAATTTATAAACATATTTATGCATGACCAAAGAATAATTTCTGAACATATTTATGCCTGACTAAAGAATAGTTTGTGAATATATTTATGCATGACTAAAGAATAGTTTCTGAACATATTTATGCATGACCAAAGAATAGTTTCTGAACATATTTATGCATGACCAAAGAATAGTTTCTGAACATATTTATGCATGACCAAAGAATAGTTTCTGAACATGTTTATGCATGACTAAAAAAAAAGTTTCTGAGCATATTTATCTGTGACTATCAAATAGTTTCTGAACATGTTTACCTATTATGTGACCATGTGGTGCTTGTATAAAGTAACATAATAGCTATAAGTTTTTCTCAACAAGCAAACAAACAAATAAAAAAGCAGGCAAATAAGACCCCAAAAAATATAATTGTCTTTCACTTCTTATGTGTCTCATTTCCTCTTCTCATTCCTCACTTCTTATGTGTCTCATTTCCTCTTCCCATTCCTCACTTCTTATGTGTCTCATTTCCTCTTCTCATTCCTCACTTCTTATGTGTCTCATTTCCTCTTCCCATTCCTCACTTCTTATGTGTCTCATTTCCTCTTCTCATTCTTCACTTCTTATGTGTCTCATTTCCTCTTCTCATTCCTCACTTCTTATGTGTCTCATTTCCTCTTCTCATTCTTCACTTCTTATGTGTCTCATTTCCTCTTCTCATTCCTCACTTCTTATGTGTCTCATTTCCTCTTCTCATTCTTCACTTCTTATGTGTCTCATTTCCTCTTCTCATTCCTCACTTCTTATGTGTCTCATTTCCTCTTCTCATTCTTCACTTCTTATGTGTCTCATTTCCTCTTCTCATTCCTCACTTCTTATGTGTCTCATATCCTCTTCTCATTCCTCACTTCTTATGTGTCTCATTTCCTCTTCTCATTCTTCACTTCTTATGTGTCTCATTTCCTCTTCTCATTCCTCACTTATGTGTCTCATTTCCTCTTCTCATTCCTCACTTCTTATGTATCTCATTTCCTTTTCTCATTCCTCACTTCTTATGTGTCTCATTTCCTCTTCTCATTCCTCACTTCTTATGTGTCTCATTTCCTCTTCTCATTCTTCACTTCTTATGTGTCTCATTTCCTCTTCTCATTCCTCACTTCTTATGTGTCTCATATCCTCTTCTCATTCCTCACTTCTTATGTGTCTCATTTCCTCTTCTCATTCTTCACTTCTTATGTGTCTCATTTCCTCTTCTCATTCCTCACTTATGTGTCTCATTTCCTCTTCTCATTCCTCACTTCTTATGTATCTCATTTCCTTTTCTCATTCCTCACTTCTTATGTGTCTCATTTCCTCTTCTCATTCCTCACTTCTTATGTGTCTCATTTCCTCTTCTCATTCCTCACTTCTTATGTGTCTCATTTCCTCTTCTCATTCCTCACTTCTTATGTGTCTCATTTCCTCTTCTCATTCCTCACTTCTTATATATCTCATTTCCTTTTCTCATTCCTCACTTCTTATGTGTCTCATTTCCTCTTCTCATTCCTCACTTCTTATGTGTCTCATTTCCTCTTCTCATTCCTCACTTCTTATGTGTCTCATTTCCTCTTCCCATTTGTCACTTCTTATGTGTCTCATTTCCTCTTCTCATTCCTCACTTCTTATGTGTCTCATTTCCTCTTCTCATTCCTCACTTCTTGTGTCTCATTTCCTCTTCTCATTCCTCACTTCTTATGTGTCTCATTTCCTCTTCCCATTCCTCACTTCTTATGTGTCTCATTTCCTCTTCTCATTCCTCACTTCTTATGTGTCTCATTTCCTCTTCTCATTCCTCACTTCTTATGTGTCTCATTTCCTCTTCTCATTCTTCACTTCTTATGTGTCTCATTTCCTCTTCTCATTCCTCACTTCTTATGTGTCTCATTTCCTCTTCTCATTCCTCACTTCTTATGTGTCTCATTTCCTCTTCTCAATTCCTCACTTCTTATGTGTCTCATTTCCTCTTCTCATTCCTCACTTCTTATGTGTCTCATTTCCTCTTCCCATTTGTCACTTCTTATGTGTCTCATTTCCTCTGCTCATTCCTCACTTCTTATGTGTCTCATTTCCTCTTCTTATTCTTCACTTCTTATGTGTCTCATTTCCTCTTCTCATTCCTCACTTCTTATGTGTCTCATTTCCTCTTCTCATTCCTCACTTCTTATGTGTCTCATTTCCTCTTCTCATTCCTCACTTCTTATGTGTCTCATTTCCTCTTCTAATTCCTCACTTCTTATATATCTCATTTCCTTTTCTCATTCCTCACTTCTTATGTGTCTCATTTCCTCTTCTCATTCCTCACTTCTTATGTGTCTCATTTCCTCTTCTCATTCCTCACTTCTTATGTGTCTCATTTCCTCTTCCCATTTGTCACTTCTTATGTGTCTCATTTCCTCTTCTCATTCCTCACTTCTTATGTGTCTCATTTCCTCTTCTCATTCCTCACTTCTTGTGTCTCATTTCCTCTTCTCATTCCTCACTTCTTATGTGTCTCATTTCCTCTTCCCATTCCTCACTTCTTATGTGTCTCATTTCCTCTTCTCATTCCTCACTTCTTATGTGTCTCATTTCCTCTTCTCATTCCTCACTTCTTATGTGTCTCATTTCCTCTTCTCATTCTTCACTTCTTATGTGTCTCATTTCCTCTTCTCATTCCTCACTTCTTATGTGTCTCATTTCCTCTTCTCATTCCTCACTTCTTATGTGTCTCATTTCCTCTTCTCAATTCCTCACTTCTTATGTGTCTCATTTCCTCTTCTCATTCCTCACTTCTTATGTGTCTCATTTCCTCTTCCCATTTGTCACTTCTTATGTGTCTCATTTCCTCTGCTCATTCCTCACTTCTTATGTGTCTCATTTCCTCTTCTTATTCCTCACTTCTTATGTGTCTCATTTCCTCTTCTCATTCCTCACTTCTTATGTGTCTCATTTCCTCTTCCCATTCCTCAGTCTCTGCTTACATCATCATCACGTGCCCTGCCAACTGGCATAGGCGCTCATGCATCTCCACAGAACATGATCCCTGGTTGCATGGAACAGCTCCCTTGATGATATCCCTCCATGCCATCGCTTCCTCCCACCCAGCATCATCTGTCTTGTGCTGCCTCTACCCCTCTTTCCATTGATCTTTCCAGTTGTCACTATGTTTTTCAATGCCTCTCTTTTCATTACATGGTCAAAGAACAGTGTTTGTCTCCTTCTTATTGTTGTATATAGTGATCTACTTTCTTTAGCTTCTTTCAGCCAATCGTTGTTAGTTACTTTGGCTGTCTAAGGTATTTGTAACATTCGTCTCAGAAACCTCATTTCTGTTGCTTCTAAATTCATCTTTATTTGTTCCCTGACATTCCAAGATTCGCTGCCATACAGCAGAACAGGTTCTATATAACATTTTAACACCCTCTTTTTGACATTAAATGAGAGCCACTTATTGAATAAGATATTTTTCATTTTCTGAAATGCTGCCACCACTTGACCTATCCTGCTTTTTATCTCTGTCGCACATTTTTCAAATGAGGATATGATTGTTCCCAGATATTTGAATTTGTTGACTTGGTTAAGTTTTCTCCTTCAATTAGATATCACAATGTGTAGTTATCTTCTTCTTTGATATAACCATTATTTCCGTTTTCTTACTATTCAATGAAAGTCATTTCTTAGCGCTCTCCATCCCCACAATATCCAGCAGTTGTAAATCAGTTGTGTTTTCAGCTATCAAAACTGTATTGTCTGCATAACACAAATTGTTTATGTTGTATCCTCCAACATTTATTCCTGCTTTCTCTTTATTTGCCCTCAAAATTACTTCACTATATAGGGAGAAAAGGTCTGGGGATAAGACAGATCCCTGTCTTACTCCTTGCTTTATGTGTTCAAAAGTATCCAATCTGTTTCCTTCTTTAATTGCTGCTACTTGGTTCCAGTAAATGCTTTTAATTATTCTAAGATCTTTCCCATCTACATTGATGCCTTTCAACATTTTTATCATCTCTTCATGTTTAACTTTGTCAAATGCTTTGGAATAGTCTATAAAACTGAAGAATAAGTCCTTTTTTCTGTCCATTGATATTTTTATTAGTGTTCTTAATATATATATTGCATTACTTGTCCCTTCATCTTCCATAATCCATGCTGCTCTTCACTGATTTCCATTTCTGTTTTTCTTCTTGTTCTTCTCTTTATAATTCTAAGTAGTAAGCTCCTGGTCTTTTGGGTAACCCAATAAATACAGATGTCATCATATCACTTGGAATGTATCCAATGTTATAAATGTCATCCATCAGTTTAGTTAGAATTTCTAGCCTAAAATCCCCCAGCACTTCTAATTCTTCTACTGAAATTTCATCTGGCCCTGCTGACTGTCCTTTCTTCATATGTTTAATAGCTGACTGTCCTTTCTTCATATGTTTAATAGCTGACTGTCCTTTCTTCATATATTTAATAGCTGACTGTCCTTTCTTCATATATTTAATAGCTGACTGTCCTTTCTTCATATATTTAATAGCTGACTGTCCTTTCTTCATATGTTTAATAGCATCGCTAACTTCTTCCTTTCCTTTAGGCAGGCCTTCTAAATTTCTGTCTTCTGGTAATTCTGCTCTCTTTCCATCAAATCTTTTATGTATTCATTCCATCTAGTTATTATCTTCTGCCATTAAGATCTTTCCTGCTTTTGATTTCAGACACCCTGTGTTTACTCTTATTTTTCTTTCAGTTGGATCATTAATTTATTTGTGCACACTTTTGCATCTTTAATAGGACTGAGTTCAATTTTATTGAATTGTTCATTTAGCCAATCTTCTTTTGCCTTCAAACACTTATGCCCTATTTCTTTATCTATCTTGTTATATTCTTCTTTGTTATTCTTCATTGTTTTCTGTCATCCATTAACTTTAAAATTTCTTCAATCATCCATTTCTGTTTAGCTATTTGTCTTTTTTCTGGTCAAATCTCTTTGCTTGTTTGATGGATACTCTTTCAGCATTTGCCACTGGTCGTTTAAAGTTTGTATTTTTAATATTGCATTGTGCCTGTTCCTCACAATCCCTCTACATCGCTCCTGAATGTCTTTATCCTCTCTTAGAATATCCTTGTATAGTCTACAGTTTTTCACCTCTTTCTTTCCACTCTTCAGTTGTACATTTAATTTTCCACATAATAGGACGTGGTCACTGTTACAGTCAGCACTAGGTCTTGTCTTTACATTTGTTAGTGCATTTCTAAACCTTTGGTTAATTAGTATATAATCAGTTTGATTGTTTTCTTCTGTGGACTTTTCCACGCATATAATCGTCTCTTATTTTGTTTAAACCAGGTGTTTCCAATCATCATGTCATTTATTTTCGCCCACGCTACCAGCGTTTCACCTCTTTCATTTCTTGATCCTAAATCATATTTCCCAACTATATCTTCCGTTTTCTCTTTCCCAGCTTCTGCATTCAAATCTCTCATTATTAGTTTAACTTCTTGTGATTTGGCAATGGCCAAATCTAAATCTTCTTAACATTTTTGTATTTCCTCTTTGCTGCTAACTGATGTTGGGGCATACACTTGTATTGTTTAAATCTTTTGGTTTGCCTTTGATTTTAACCATAATAACCCTATCTGATATACTCCGGTAACAACCCACACTTGCTTTTGCTGTTTCTTTATCAAAATGTATCCCTACCCCCTTTTCATGTTTGTCACTTCCTGAATATATTATTGTGTACTTAACTTTTCTTATCTTTCAGGCACCGTTCAATCTCACTTCACTCATTCCTAGGATATTTATCTTCATACATTCCATTTCTTTAAAAAACATTTTCTGTCTTTCCTAATTCTGCCAGTGTTCTCACATTTCGTTGCTACTTTAACACCTTAAATTTTCAAATATTTTTAAAAATTGCCATCAGTAACTTGATGACGATCTGGTTTCACCTGTGACTTGTGACTGTCCCTACCAGACCAGGCTGTCCTTAGACTTTCATTAATGTCATTCGTGTGATTCAGTTTGTGTTTCTTCACATTCTTCTGCTTACTTAGAAACATAATTTCTGCACTCTGTCATGAAGTTTACTATCATATTGTTTGCCTATTTCTATGATTCTGATTGCTCTGTTCTTTACTTCTAACAGTTTCATATAACCTGTTCCCTTCAAGATATTTTGATGAGAGAATAAAGGTAGAAGTAGCTTGTGATCATATTTATGAATATTTCCACATCTCTGCCCCCCCCCCCCCCCCCAGTTGCTGTCCACACCCTTCTGTATTCGGACTGGCTCCCAGCAGCTGTGGGAGTGTGTGGGTGCTGTCACCTGGTACTGTTTTGTTGCCCAGGACCTGGTAAGTTTGTGTGGGTGCTGTCACCTGGTACTGTTTTGTTGCCCAGGACCTGGTAAGTTTGTGTGGGGGCTGTCACCTGGTACTGTTTTGTTGCCCAGGACCTGGTAAGTTTGTGTGGGTGCTGTCACCTGGTACTGTTTTGTTGCCCAGGACCTGGTAAGTTTGTGTAATCAGTTGAACTCCTGAATGTTGACCCATATAAACTTACTTGTATTTGACAGTTTTGTCATTTGCCAGCAGAATTGGTCATTTATGATGACTGTCACCTTCAGTATTGTCTTCATTGGTTGACATTTAAACTCTTAGTCCAGAGAAGTTGACATGTCAACTCTTAGTCCCAAAGAAGTTGACATGTCAACTCTTAGTCCCAGAGAAGACATGTCAACTCTTAGTACCAGATAAGTTGACATGTCAACTCTTAGTCCCAGAGAAGTTGACATGTCAGCTCTTAGTCCCAGAGAAGTTGACATGTCAGCTCTTAGTCCCAGAGAAGTTGACATGTCAACTCTTAGTCCCAGAGAAGTTGACATGTGAACTCTTAGTCCCAGAGAAGTTGACATGTAAACTCTTAGTCCCAGAGAAGTTGACATGTCAGCTCTTAGTCCCAGAGAAGTTGACATGTCAGCTCTTAGTCCCAGAGAAGTTAACATGTCAGCTCTTAGTCCCAGAGAAGTTGACATGTCAGCTCTTAGTCCCAGAGAAGTTGACATGTCAACTGTTAGTCCCAGAGAAGTTGACATGTCAACTCTTAGTCCCAGGGAGTTGTTGCATCAGCGTGTTCTACCACAGTCTTTGCAGTCCAGTCTCTAGATCTCAACTAATTAAAATTATGCTGGCAAGGGCCTGAAGAGCCTAAAGTACAAGTTTGAGTTTTACAAAAGGATGATGACAGGTTGATAAAACAACAGGAAGTAAGAAACTTGTCCCCTGTTAACAGAGTCAGCAACAAACTTGTCCCCTGTGTACAGAGTCAGCAACAAACTTGTCCTGTGTACAGAGTGAGCAACAAACTTGTCCTGTGTACAGAGTCAGCAACAAACTTGTCCTGTGTACAGAGTCAGCAACAAACTTGTCCTGTGTACAGAGTCAGCAACAAACTTGTCCTGTGTACAGAGTCAGCAACAAACTTGTGGCTAGTTGGCTGGTACTCAGAGTTATTTGACAAGCTGTTAGTTCGGCCCTCAAAACAGATCCGTGTGTTCTCTGTCTCTCTAAGCACTTGTTGGAGTTTACTTATGACACATGGTTTATGAGTGATTCTACATTATTTCCACCTGTGACTCCTTTCTGAAGTCAGTCACCAACCTATTCTGTCTTTACCCATTAGAAATCCATGGCAGAGTGTGATGATGGTTCATGAGTTCTGTGATCATCAGTCTAAGATCACATCTCTGTTCTTGTCCAGATTTTTGCCATATGACCAAACTGTATGGGGATTTATCCCCCTGTCTTTCTCTTGCTGTTTTGCAATTAAGAATAGCACTTGTCACAAACATATGACGAGTTGGCTGGTACTCAAAGAGTTACTTGACTAGAGTAGGTTTAATACAGCACTCAGAACAGACCATTATGTGCTCTGTCTCTCTCAGCACTTGTTGGAGTGTACATTTGCCACATGGTTTATGAGTGATTCTACATTATCTCCACCTGTGACTCCACCAGATGCCGTCTGGGCAATTATCCTCTTGTCTTTCTCTTGCTTTTTCCCCATCAAAAGTTTCACTTGTCACTAGTCACTGAGTTTTTAAGTCTATTTCTTCTCATAGTCAACACAGTCAATCTTCACTTCTCGTAGCAGCCAAGTAAATCTGTAGTCTTTTGTCTCAGGTAGATCATAGAAGGAGCATCTCAGCACAGTGCTCAGAACCCAGAAGTGTCAGACGCATATTATATAAATATGTTTGTGTGTGTGTATGTACATTTTCTAGTTTATAACTTTTTTGTCTAAACTTTAAAATGTTGTATGGGCAGTGTTCTGCTCAACCTTTTGATTTAATTTTTTTTTTAAATCCTCAGCTACCAAAGAATTTTAATAGTAAAGTCGAGAGGATTAGCTTCATTCATTGAATCTTGTTTGATCCCGTATGGCTCGGTCTCTCTCCTCATATGGAAGGGGTCTTGTGCCTGCACAGCTGTTTTTAGTCGTCCTAGGGATGCTCCTTGATGTGATCCCTCGATAAGTTGGTTAAATACTTGTAGTTTGGGCACTGTAATTTTAGACGTAACTGGTGAGGCATGATTTATGTGTACAGTTTATGACTAATTGATAAGGGACAATGTATGTGCCTGCCAAGAGTGTCACACAAAGCATGAACTCCATAGCTCTGGTGATGATTTCCTGGGATCTCAGTACTAATTGCACTTAAGAACTAAGTGACACAGCCAAGTATTTTGTGCACAGTTAGTTAGTCTTTCTTCTTGAGCCTAAAGTGGTGCATAGGGCAGAGGTCATAGCTCTCCATGTCTGGCGGTTCATTGCCGCCTGCTTTAGGTCTTGGATATTCATTGGGCCCGTGGTTGAGCCTTCCCTGATGATCATTCTATGCAGAGTCTCTTTTAGTCTTTCCCGTTTTTTTCTTATAAAATTTGATACATTTTCTTGCCTGGTCTCGTGTCTTATTTGCGTATTGGATCTGACATCTGTCCAGTAGAGATTCAGTTTTCTTCTAAGACATCTGTTCTCACAAATGTCAAATTTTTTTAAAATCAAGAGCTACCGTTGCTTTCCAACTCTGGCATCCATAAGTTAGAACTGAGATCACGCAAGAGTTGAAGATCTGAAGTTTTATATGTTGGCTGAGTGTCTTTGACCTCCAGATGTTTGACAGTTTGGAAAAGACACTAGATGCCAGTAGGATTCTAAATGATATTTCTGTTGCTAAGTGCCCTATAGATGTCATCTGACTTGCTAGGTTGCTAAGTGCCCTATAGATGTCATCTGACTTGCTAGGTTGCTAGGTTGCTAGGTATCTCAAGCTGTTGACATTTTCAGTGGTGTGATTGTTTATGTTGATGTCCTCTAAACTGTTGGTATGATCAGTCATTTTTGTTTTTTGCTGTGTTAATTTGGAGACCAATTTGTCCTGAAATATTTTGGAGATGGTCTGTTTTCTCTTGGATATCTGGGTGTGCTCAGATCAAAAGCACTATGTCGTCAGCAGAGTCAAGATCTTCTAGAATTTTGTTAACCCATTTGATGCCCATGTTTGTGTTGTTTGTGCATTTCCTCATGACCCAGTCGATTGCTATTCCAAAGAGCATTGGCGATAGGACACAGCCTTATTTCACTTCTGTTTCTACCGGGAACCAGTCAGAGTTGCCAGATTTTGTTCTTACACTGCAACATGTTTTCACTGCAGAAATATTTTATGACCTTGATGAATTTTGAAGGGAAACCATAGATTTTAAGTAGTGTCCAAAGTGTAGGACAGTGGATACTGCCGAAGGATTTTTTTTAAAGTCGACAAAGTTGATGATTAATTGTGACAGAAATTCTACAAATTCTCCAATGATTACTCTGAGGGTGAAGATGTCGTCTAGGCATGACCTCTTTGGTATGAAGCCTGCTTGTTCTTTTCTCAGCCTTTCAGATATAGACTTTTTCAATCTCTCAGGTAACATGCTACAAACAAGTTTTCCTGCCACTGAGAGCAGAGTGATACCACACCAGTTATTGCAGTCAGAGAAATCACCTTTTTTGGGCAGTTTGAAAATTGTGCCATCTGTCCACTGTTGTGGTGGGGATTCGTTTTGCCAGATTTCATCAAACAGCTGTAGCAAATGCTGTATGGTATTCTCATATGCTGCTTTAAGCATTTCTCCAGAGATGTCGTCATCTCAATAGGTACACCGATTCCATGAAATTTGTATTGTGCCTGGCATCAAACCTGGTCCCTTGAATTGTTCACTCTTGACAGAGAAAATTAAAATGTCTGATACATTACCCTAGAACCTTGGGGAACGGAAAATAAAACATTAACTGATTTCACTGCTCACCTTCACAGTACAGGTAGTGGAAGATAAAACATTAACTGACTTCACTTCTCACCTTCACAGTACAGGCAACAGAAGATAAAACATTAACTGACTTCACTGCTCACCTCCACAGTACAGGCAACAGAAGATAAAACATTAACTGACTTCACTTCTCACCTTCACAGTACAGGCAACAGAAGATAAAACATTAACTGACTTCACTGCTCACCTCCACAGTACAGGCAACAGAAGATAAAACATTAACTGACTTCACTGCTCACCTCCACAGTACAGGCAACAGAAGATAAAACATTAACTGACTTCACTGCTCACCTCCAAAGTACAGGCACCTGAAGATAAAACATTAACTGACTTCACTGCTCACCTTCACAGTACAGGCAACAGAAGATAAAACATTAACTGACTTCACTGCTCACCTCCACAGTACAGGTAGTGGAAGATAAAACATTAACTGACTTCACTGCTCGCCTTCAAAGTACAGGCAACAGAAGATAAAACATTAACTGACTTCACTGCTCGCCTCCACAGTACAGGCAACCGTTCAAGTGTCAGACTGAGATGAGCATCTCCCAGCTTCTGGCAATGCTGCAGGCAATGATTCTCACGAGAGACCCAGACAAGAAACTTGACTCTGATGAGGTGGAGGCACTCGCAGACATGTTACACTGTAAGTCTCTCCTTCATTCTCATTCTCACAGTGGATCCCTTCATTCTTGTACTCACAGTGGATCCCCTTCATTCTTGTCCTCACAGTGGATTAGATATTTTGGTGCTCACTTGTGAAACCCATGTGATCAGGTTGGCTACTAGAATGTCTCTTTAAGCCTTTGACCTCAAGCAGCCACAAATCAAATGTTTCTAGTTGCTGCCATTTCCTTGTAAGAGTTGCTTCCCTGATTCGTTATAGAGACCTGTTTATGAGACGTTTAGCATGAGAAGGGATGGCTCAGTGGATACTGTTTAGCATGAGAAGGGATGACTCAGTGGATACTGTTTAGCATGAGAAGGGATGACTCAGTGGATACTGTTTAGCATGAGAAGGGATGACTCAGTGGATACTGTTTAGCATGAGAAGGGATGACTCAGTGGATACTGTTTAGCATGAGAAGGGATGACTCAGTGGGTACTGTTTAGAATGAGAAGGGATGACTCAGTGGATACTGTTTAGCATGAGAAGGGATGACTCAGTGGATACTGTTTAGCATGAGAAGGGATGACTCAGTGGATACTGTTTAGCATGAGAAGGGATGACTCAGTGGATACTGTTTAGCATGAGAAGGGATGACTCAGTTAACTCAAGATAGTATTTACCTGGGTTTCTTTTAGAAAAAAAAAAAATGGCTTTATTTATATAAATTCTGAAGTCCTATGGTTCTTATTGGCCACAGTGATGAACGGGTCAAAGGGTCAAGTGTCACATTTTAATTAGTTTACAGGCGGCAAGATTTTGAAGCAAGTTGAGTTTTTATTTATTACCCCCCTTACTCTGTATTAGTGTTTGTGTTTTGGCTGATAAATGAATTTGGATATTCTCAAAAAGTGTGAAGAGTGGTGGCTTAAGGTTGTTTTGTCTAGGTCACTGGAGTGAACGGGTTAAGAAACACGGGGTCTAATGTCACAGTAGTCTCTGATCATGTGGGTAGTGAGAGTGGAGACATAGACTTGTTAGTTTGTATGTTCTCCTGACAGCATCCTAGCACTGCTGGTGTCTGGTCTGGTAGTCTGGTAGTCTTAGTTTCAGCTTCATAGCAAACGGGTCATCCCATCTTTGCTCCGCTCCTGTGCCAACGAAAAAAAACCTCAGAATGTTTATCACAGTCCCTTGTGGAAAGATTGACAGACTGCTGTCTCAGCATATCTAGCATACACTCGCATTAAAGCATACGGTAGCCACCCGAAGTGCTAGCACAAACAGTCCAACATTAGAAATGCAGTTCATCATTGATGATAGCAGAACTTGTTGCCAAAAGATCAGCAGTTGCCCACGCGATCAATTGTAATCACATCCGGGCACCGCCAACATTGACGACCGGCATCACGCCATTTTCTGTATCTCCAATTCACACCACCACGTTGGTCACAGTCGAAAAAACATTCAAAATGCAATCCGCAGCTCACAGGGTCACGCCATGCATTCAACTCAGAAGCTGGGCGACAAAACTATATCCAGTCTACAAATGGAGCAAAAATACTTCGGCCACCGTCTGGCAGAAGCAAAAAATTTGCCTCTGCTTCGAACAGCGCCGCTGTCTAGCGTCCATTTTAACCGGTGTGTGTGTGTTTAACCGGTGTGGTGTGTGTGTTTGTATGTTCTCATGACAGAATCCTAGCACTGCTGGTGTGTGTGTTTGTATGTTCTCATGACAGCATCCTAGCACTGCTGATGTGTGTTTGTATGTTCTCACGACAGGATCCTAGCACTGCTGGTGTGTGTTTGTTTGTTCTCATGACAGTATCCTAGCACTGCTGGTGTGTGTGTTTGTATGTTCTCACGACAGGATCCTAGCACTGCTGGTGTGTGTTTGTTTGTTCTCATGACAGTATCCTAGCACTGCTGGTGTGTGTGTTTGTATGTTCTCATGACAGCATCCTAGCACTGCTGGTGTGTGTGTTTGTATGTTCTCATGACAGGATCCTAGCACTGCTGGTGTGTGTGTTTGTATGTTCTCATGACAGCATCCTAGCACTGCTGGTGTGTGTGTTTGTATGTACTCATGACAGGATCCTAGCACTGCTGGTGTGTGTGTTTGTATGTTCTCATGACATCATCCTAGCACTGCTGGTGTGTGTTTGTTTGTTCTCATGACAGGATCCTAGCACTGCTGGTGTGTGTGTTTGTATGTTCTCATGACAGGATCCTAGCACTGCTGGTGTGTGTGTTTGTATGTTCTCATGACAGCATCCTAGCACTGCTGGTGTGTGTGTTTGTATGTTCTCATGACAGGATCCTAGCACTGCTGGTGTGTGTGTTTGTATGTTCTCATGACATCATCCTAGCACTGCTGGTGTGTGTTTGTTTGTTCTCATGACAGTATCCTAGCACTGCTGGAGTGTGTTTGTTTGTATGTTCTCATGACAGCATCCTAGCACTGCTGATGTTTGCCCTACATATATTATGTGCTGAAAGGTAAAAGTCCAAACAGTTACTTAGATGAATAGAAGGCGTGACCAAACAATCTTGTCAAACGCAGATGACTACTTAGATAGATCTTGTTTATATTTTTTTCTCACAATACATTTATTTTATATCAATAAACTCATTTCTACATTGTTTTGTTGATGGCCACTAGGAAAGCAGTTTTTAAATATTTAACTGCCTTGTCGCTGCATACTTTCATACACTATTTGCAAGTGTCGCCTTTTGAAGGGGCATGTTAACATTAATGGTTAGATCATAGATTAAACACCATGTTTCATCACCAATAATAATACAGTACCAACACCATTAATCTTTTCCAATTAAAAAACAAAATTTGAGAAATGTCTTGGCGGTAAACAGTATTTTCCTGTGTATGTTTTACATCACACATTCTTTCTTATGTGTGTGTGTATGTGTGCTTGCAAACATGCATGTGTGGATTCAAGACACACACAGGCACGTACGCACGCATACACTCACACATATAATATCTTTGTGTCAGCTTGTGTGTATATGTTGTACATTCAACATTCTTGCTCTTCTTCATGCCATGGACCTTTTTGTGATACAACAATAACACAGCCGTCCCTTATGTTTGCAGCACTGACAAAGACAGACAGTGTCAACCTCTTGGATTTTGTCAAGGTAAGTCTGTTTTTAATCACCTAATGTCTCATTGTTTCCTTTAGCCATTAAAATGTTGTGTGTGATTGTTCTGTTCTCATTTTCTTCAGCCATTGAAATACGTGTGATTGTTCTGTTCTCATTTTCTTCAGCCATTGATAAACATGTGATTTTTCTGTTCTCATTTTCTTCAGCCATTGAAATACGTGTGATTGTTCTGTTCTCATTTTCTTCAGCCATTGAAATATGTGTGATTGTTCTGTTCTCATTTTCTTCAGCCATTGAAATACATGTGATTGTTCTGTTCTCATTTTCTTCAGCCATTGAAATACATGTGATTGTTCTGTTCTTATTTTCTTCAGCCATTGAAATACATGTGATTGTTCTGTTCTCATTTTCTTCAGCCATTGAAATACATGTGATTGTTTTGTTCTCATTTTCTTCAGCCATTCATGTGTGTGATCTTTCTGTTACTGTCTCTCATCACATCATCAGTAGACGACCAGCGGGACATGGAAAGGTCAGATTCTATCAAATATTTAGTTATACGATTTGATCCACGGCCCTGCTGGCCCTGAAGTATTAATGTTGAAACCTCACAGGCGCAGACCTCCATAATTAAACTAGGGCTTCCACACTGATCTCATCTAAAATGGAAATGTACAGGAAAGTGAAGGCAGCCAGCGTGATGTTGGTGACCTCACCCATTTAGTGCCAAGTTGTCTATGAAAGTGTGGGTCTGACACCATCAGCTGTGCTAGTGTCCACAAGTCTAGTCCCCATTGAACTCCCACTTTTTTTTTTTATCTTCAGAGTTGACTGTGGCAGCCAGGTCAAACTAGCTTAAAATGTGTAGTTGGTAACGTCCTGGGAAGTAAAGGTGGCCAGCAAGATGTTGACCCATCCCCCATCAAGTGTGGATTTGTCTGTGAAGTGTAGGTTTGGTACTAAATACTCAGTGTGCATCAGGGCATCGAAAAGGGTCCTTTCATCATAAGCATTTAAAAGGTGCTTTACTTCTGTTGTTCACCAGAGAGTCAAAGATCTGCATGAGGTAAACAGTAGCCCAATACTTGTCTGCAATTCTGTTGCTTAAACTTGTTGGACACTTTTTTTTAAAACACTAATTTTAAAATATATGAATTGTTTTACTTCCAGTGTTTAAAAGTTATCATTCTGTTAACTATGAAGATGTTCCTCTTGCCATGTTTGTCAGCATGCTATGCCGAAACAAGGCAGAGAGAAGTCTGGGAAGAATGATTTCCCTTGTTTTACCTGGTTTGTAGCAGCACTGAATACCCACAAGTATTTGATGGAGAACACTAATCTGAGGTCAGTCTTGTGATTGTGTGTCAGCGTGACTGTGCCTGACCTGACTGTGCCTAACCTGATTGTGCCTAACCTGACTGTGCCTGACCTGACTGTGCCTAACCTGACTGTGCCTGACCTGACTGTGCCTAACCTGACTGTGCCTGACCTGACTGTGCCTGACCTGACTGTGCCTAACCTGACTGTGCCTGACCTGACTGTGCCTGACCTGACTGTGCCTAACCTGACTGTGCCTGACCTGACTGTGCCTAACCTGACTGTGCCTGACCTGACTGTGCCTAACCTGACTGTGCCTGACCTGACTGTGCCTAACCTGACTGTGCCTGACCTGACTGTGCCTGACCTGACTGTGCCTAACCTGACTGTGCCTGACCTGACTGTGCCTAACCTGACTGTGCCTGACCTGACTGTGCCTAACCTGACTGTGCCTGACCTGACTGTGCCTAACCTGACTGTGCCTAACCTGACTGTGCCTAACCTGACTGTGCCTAACCTGACTGTGCCTAACCTGACTGTGCCTGACCTGACTGTGCCTAACCTGACTGTGCCTAACCTGACTGTGCCTGACCTGACTGTGCCTGACCTGACTGTGCCTAACCTGACTGTGCCTAACCTGACTGTGCCTGACCTGACTGTGCCTAACCTGACTGTGCCTAACCTGACTGTGCCTGACCTGACTGTGCCTAACCTGACTGTGCCTAACCTGACTGTGCCTAACCTGACTGACAACAAGTTATTCTTGACATGGATATTTTAATACCAGTGCTGGAACAAACATGGGTTGTTTCACTAGGTTGCCTGGTGTGGGTTGTTTTTTTTGTGTGCTCCCTTTGCCATAGTACACCATATTGTTTGTCCTCCCTTTGCCATAGTACACCATATTGTTTGTCCTCCCTTTACCATAGTACACCATATTGTTTGTCCTCCCTTTGCCATAGTACACCATATTGTTTGTCCTCCCTTTGCCATAGTACACCATATTGTTTGTCCTCCCCATTACACCATATTGTTTGTCCTCCCTTTACCATAGTACACCATATTGTTTGTCCTCCCTTTGCCGTTGATTATAATGCAAACAGAACGCAAACTATCACAAGGTCAAAGGTTGACTAATTAAGTTGTTTTTTTCCCCCAAGTTGGAATGGATCTGCTAGAGAGCCTGCATGTAAATAATTCATATCTATCAAACGGATGTTCACGCAAAACTCAAGTTCTGGAACAAGACTAAAGTCCAGAAGGTGACAAACAGCCAGAAATTGTTGCTGGAGTTTACAGCCAGGGAACGATAAGAAGAAGACTGAAGTCCTTGTCTATAGCAGGTTAGAAGGGAAAACACAAAGAGTTAAAGAGAAAGCGCTGGTAATAAATTGTTGACTTGAATTCCCTTTACAAGACAGGGTAAAAGAAAAAACACTGAACATGTGAAGTTTTAACACTTATTTGTCTGGTGAACACTTGTTTGTCTGGTGAACACTTGTTTGTCTTGTGAACACTTGTTTGTGTGGTGAACACTTGTTTGTCTGGTGAACACTTGTTTGTCTGGTGAACACTAATTTGTCTTGTGAACACTTGTTTGCTTTGTGAACACTTGTTTGTCTGGTGAACACTTGTTTGTCTGGTGAACACTTGTTTGTCTTGTGAGCACTTGTTTGTCTTGTGAGCACTTGTTTGTCTTGTGAGCACTTGTTTGTTTTGTGAGCACTTGTTTGTCTTGTGAGCACTTGTTTGTCTTGTGAGCACTTGTTTGTCTTGTGAGCACTTGTTTGTCTTGTGAGCACTTGTTTGTCTTGTGAACACTTGTTTGTCTTGTGAACACTTCTGGTAATCTGGTAATCTGGTAATCCTAGTTTCAGCTTCATAGCAAACGGGTCACCCCACATATGCTCCGCTCCTGTGCCAACGAAAAACAAACGCAGCTCACAGTGTCACGCCATGCACTCAACTCAGAAGCTGGGCGACGAAACTACATCCTTCCAGTCTACAAATGAAGCAAAAATGCAACGGCCACCGTCTGGCAAAAAAAAAAAAAAAAAATATTTGCCACGGCTTTAAAAAAAAAAAAATGGTGGCCGTACCTAGCGTCCATTTTGACCGGAAGAATTATATGAGGGTTAATAAACGGTCACCCCAGCAATACCCTCATTATTAGCTGGGGAAGGGACTTGGGACATTACATCCACCAGCAGGCGTCGCCCCTACAACGACCTGCCTGTCATCGTTAACGACTGTTCACCCAACAGCCATGCAGTTCTTTGGCACGAAGGAGACACCTTGAACTTGGGTTTCGTACTGCCGACTCCCTACTAAGATGTTATTTTATGTTCTGTTATCACAATTAATGTCACTGCACATGGGCATACCCATGCGTGCTCAGTTCTCCGAAGCAGCAGCCACTCTAAAGTACTTCTTGTTTGTCTAGTGAACACTTGTTTGTCTTGTGAACACTTGTTTGTCTGTTATCTTTATCTCTCTATGCTTTTATTCATTCTGATGCTATTTATCCAGTCTTCTTTCTTCTCTCTGTTGATCTTGTTTTATCTTCTACAGTTCTGTATTCCCCTTTTCTTTGTGATCACAAAACTTGCATAGATCCTCTTGTTGAAGACCTAGCTCCTTGCCCCTGGCAACAAGCTGTGCCAGGTTGGATCTGGTTTACTTGTCATTCTCACTTGATATACATTTATGAAGTACACACACTTTCTGTTAGATTACACTTCTATAACTATTTTATATGAGACAGTTTATGTGTACAGTTTATAACTAACTGGTGAGGAATGCACATTATTTCCCAGGGGCTGCAGTGACCTTGCTGGCTATGATCAGGTTAAAAAGAGATGCAGCGGCAGGTTGGACAGAAGTGCATGGATTAGGATTAGCAGGAATGAGGTTGAAGCGGCTAGTGGCCAGTCACCATATGCAGATGTTGTTGTTCATGTGTACACAGCCTCCGGAGGTAACCACCTCGTTCTTGCTGTCTTCTCTTATTCATATCTTTTGTCTTCTTCTGTGCACTCACTGGCTGTAAACAGCAAAAGTTCCTAGTTGTTCCTTCTGTGCACTCACTGGCTGTAAACAGTTGAAGTTCCTAGTTGTTCCTTCTGTGCACTCACTGGCTGTAAACAGTTGAAGTTCCTGGTTGTTCCTTCTGTGCACTCACTGGCTGTAAACAGCAGAAGTTCCTAGTTGTTCCTTCTGTGCACTCACTGGCTGTAAACAGTTGAAGTTCCTGGTTGTTCCTTCTGTGCACTCACTGGCTGTAAACAGTTGAAGTTCCTGGTTGTTCCTTCTGTGCACTCACTGGCTGTAAACAGCTGAAGTTCCTGGTTGTTCCTTCTATGCACTCACTGGCTATAAACAGCAGAAAGTCCTGGTAGTTCAGTCATATCTGGACTTTCCTGTTCTAGATCTTGAGTTTTTTGTGCAGATCCGTTTTAAAGATCCGGCTTATTTGTATGCAGACTGGTAATTCCTCTTGTCTCAGCCAGATATTCTCTGACTTCAAAGAAAGCACCCCTGGTTAGTCGACTTTTACAACATGAAAAGGGGAAAGGGGGGGGGGAGACAGTGGTTATTTTTTTTAATTTGTTAAATTTGTGTTTGTTTCTCTGCAGTGGGACCCCAGAACCCGTATGGACTTTGTGTTCAATATAAAGCAGAAGTTGAGTTTGTTTATGCACAAGTTTATAAAAAAAAAGCCATCTCATAATTTCATTTTTTTTTTCATTATAATGCATTTGATGATTAATACCTGGTCAGAGGTCAGAGAGATTGGTAATTTTTTCTGTTTTATCTGTTCTTTGTTAAAAAAAAAACAGTTTTCCGGTATAAATCTGAAGAGTATCAGTGGCACTTGAGTCTGTTTTGTGTGATGTGTTTCTTAGAAACTTTCCCTGGCTACAAACATCGTGTTGGTGCTGACTATATATTATGAATGATATTAACAAGCTTACTATACATTATACATAAAATACAATTGCTGAGTGATGGATGAATGGCCACATGTAAAATTAGCCTAAACTATCTCCCAGTGTCTACATCATCTTGTTTCTGTCATGCAGTGTCTACATCATCTTGTTTCTGTCATGCAGTGTCTACATCATCTTGTTTCTGTCATGCAGTGTCTACATCATCTTGTTTCTGTCATGCAGTGTCTACATCAACTTGTTTCTGTCATGCAGTGTCTACATCATCTTGTTTCTGTCATGCAGTGTCTACATCATCTTGTTTCTGTCATGCAGTGTCTACATCAACTTGTTTCTGTCATGCAATGTCAACATCAACTTGTTTCTGTCATGCAGTGTCTACATCATCTTGTTTTTGTCATGCAGTGTCTACATCAACTTGTTTCTCTCATGCAGTGTCTACATCAACTTGTTTCTGTCATGCAGTGTCAACATCAACTTTTTTCTGTCATGCAATGTCAACATCAACTTGTTTCTGTCATGCAGTGTCTACATCAACTTGTTTCTGTCATGCAGTGTCTACATCAACTTGTTTCTGTCATGCAGTGTCTACATCAACTTGTTTCTGTCATGCAGTGTCTACATCAACTTGTTTCTGTCATACAATGTCAACATCATCTTGTTTCTGTCATGCAGTGTCTACATCAACTTGTTTCTGTCATGCAGTGTCTACATCAACTTGTTTCTGTCATGCAGTGTCAACATCATATTGTTTCTGTCATGCAGTGTCTACATCATCTTGTTTCTGTCATGCAGTGTCAACATCATCTTGTTTCTGTCATGCAGTGTCTACATCATCTTGTTTCTGTTATGCAGTGTCAACATCTTCTTGTTTCTGTATCATCTCAAGTCTTGACGTTTAACCAGATTTAAAATGTTAAGATATTCTTTATTGTCATACTTTAAACTGCATATTTTGTGTTTTTTGACTAATTGTTTACTGCCAAATGTATTATGTGTGCACACTGACAATGTCTGGAACCATCTCCAGTGAAAACCTTGGTAGCCAGCCATACCAAGTTGATGGAACGGGCTCTGTCAAGTCGTGTCAGAAACTGGATAGACCGTGATGGCAAAAGTCTTGTCTTGACAATTCAACCTTATGGACATCCTGTTGAGGAATTGGACAGTTCTACAGAGGAATCAATACAAGGTCATTCTTTAAGCTGATCATTCTGTGACTTTTCTATCTGTGCACATATATCTATGTATAGATAGCTAAACCAAGGTGAGATAGCCAAACCAAGGTGAGATAGCCAAACCAGGGTGAAATAGCCAAGCCAAGGTGAGATATCCAAGCCAAGGTGAGATAGCCAAACCAGGGTGAGATAGCCAAGCCAGGGTGAAATAGCCAAGCCAAGGTGAGATAGCCAAGCCAAGGTGAGATAGTCAAGCCAAGGTGAGATAGCCAAGCCAAGGTGAGATAGCCAAGCCAAGGTGAGATAGCCAAGCCAAGGTGAGATAGCCAAACCAAGGTGAGATAGCCAAGCCAACGTGAGATAGCCAAGCCAAGGTGAGATAGCCAAGCCAAGGTGAGATAGCCAAATGAAGGTGAGATAGCCAAGCCAGGGTGAAATAGCCAAGCCAGGGTGAGGTAGCCAAACCAGGGTGATGTTGCCAAGCCAGGGTGAGGTAGCCAAGCCAGGGTGAGGTAGCCAAACCAGGGTGAGGTAGCCAAACCAGGGTGAGATAGCCAAGCCAGGGTGAGATAGCCAGACCAGGGTGAGATAGCCAGACCAGGGTGAGGTAGCCAAGCCAGGGTAAGGTAGCCAAGCCAGGGTAAGGTAGCCAAGCCAGGGTGAGGTAGCCAAGCCAGGGTGAGGTAGCCAAGCCAGGGTGAGATAGCCAAGCCAAGGTGAGATAGCCAAGCCAAGGTGAGATAGCCAAGCCAGGGTAAGATAGCCAAGCCAGGGTAAGATAGCCAAGCCAGGGTGAGGTAGCCAAACCAGGGTGAGGTAGCCAAACCAGGGTGAGCTAGCCAAGCCAGGGTGAGATAGCTAAGCCAGGGTGAGGTAGCAGAGCTAGGGCACACTCTGTTGCTTGGTATGCTGAGATGTTGTGAAGTCTGAAGCTGTGAGTGACTCTTTCAATCCATTCCCTTCTAGGTCTCCCTCTGTCTTTTTGTGTTTCTATTTTCATTTTTTAAAGCTGTTTTATGCCAGTCTTGTCGGATTCATCGTCACTGAATGGTCACATCATTTGAGTGTTTTGTTTTTCAGGTAATTTTATGGTGAGTATTGTTCCAGTAGTGTTTCTGATCTCTTCATTTTTAATTTAACATGGTCAGTGAATTAACGTTTCAGAGACGTGTTGGCATGTATGAATGTTTTCTTCTGTATTTAGATCTTTTCTCATGTTTTATTCTGCTTTGTTCATCTGAGAAACTTCAACATTAAACAAGCTAGATACTGTAGCATCCAGCACACCAGATGCATCTTTGAAAATAATAAACACATGCTTTTTTTCATTGTGAACATTGTGTCCTTTGAACCTGTCTTCTTCTGCCTTTCTGTCCCCCATCCCCCATCCCAAATGTTGTTAACAATGGTCCTGAAATTCCATGCTACCATTGTGGAAGACTTTTCTTGACACTAGCAAGTCTTGCTACTCGCCATCCCCATGAGCTGCGAGTCTCATGCCTTCTCAATATAACACTATTGTCTGGAAACAGGGTTCGTAGTGGACCGGGAAATCGGGAAATTACCGGGATTTTTTTCGTTGACCTTAAACCGGGATTTTTAGCTTATAAAAGACATTCCGACCTTGAAAAGCCGTGAATTTTGACCGCAGCAATGAAATCGTCAGAAATTCTGTGTTTTTCAAGCACAGGCCATTTTGGGGGAGCCATTTGGCTTTTTTGGCCATTTGGCTAGTTTTTGGCTACTTTTGTTGTATGGTCGTTTCAGGTGTGATGGCAGCTGATTATTGGCTATTTTCAGCCGAAATGGCTTGTTAAAGGCCAGGGGAGGGCGGGCTGTGTTACAGATCATGAATACATGCAGACAGCAGCAGTGTGGCATGGGGCGGGAAGGAGCAGCTTCCGTCTCGCGCGTGTGTGTGTGTGCCTTTGTTTCTAGCAAGTCGGGCAGAATGAACAGTTTAAATCGTTTATGGCCGTGGTTTCTAGAAAGGATTACATTGGGAGATGGTGGGGCTCGGTTCAGTTGTATTTATAAATAGAGTCGCCGTGGTGGGGCTAAGCACGGCCTTCTCTATTAATTAGAGATGGCATTGGGGCTAAGAAAAGTGACTGCAGCTGGATTTCCAAGTTCTATTTTTGGCCTGGATTTATCTTTACAGTGTGTTTGGCGATCAGTATTGTAATTCCCCGAGATTCCCTCTTCTGTTGTCTCACCTCTCTCTCTCTCTTCCCTCCCTCTTTCACTCTTCTACCTATTGCTCCTTTCTTCCCGTCTCCTGCATTGTCTCTAACCCTCCCTTCTGATCTTCATCTTCTTCTCTTTCTCTCTATCTTTCCTTTTACTCTCTCATTTCCTGTCCCCCCCTCCCCCTTTTTCTTATTTTATTTCTTGTTTAAATGTTTAGTAAATGTGCGGCTCCATAACTCTTCCTAGCAACTCAAGTACACAGGAAGTTGTATTGAGGGGGGGGGGGGGCATTCTGTGTGAACATGGTGGATATTTTCTTTTGATGTGTTTGTTTTCCTAGCGGCCTTAATCTCTGTCCATCTCCCTTCCCGCCCCCTCACATTTTGTCCTACCTGTTCCTCACTCTCTGCCTGTCTGTGTCACTGCTTTCTTCTTTCTCTTTGTATTTGCCACTCTCCCTCACTCCCCCCCCTCTCTCTCTCTCTCTCTCTCTCTTTCTCCATACCTTCAGTTGGTGTAGAAGGTTATGTGTTGCCTAGTGCAGAACATTTCATGTCCACCATTCCCCCTCCCACACATTAAATATATGTGTACTTTTAAAAACACATTTGCCGACACCCCCCTCCCCCTTTTTTTTTCTCCTCCCACATTGATGACACCTAGGGGTGCACCCCTTCCTGCTACCTTCTTCCCTCTATATCTCATCTTATTTCTTACTCCCTTCTTTCTCTCCCTGTCTCATTCCCACTTTATTTTCTTAAACTTTATTCTCTCACCTCCTCTGTCTCACCCTTACCACCTCAGCCTTCTACACCACTTTCCACCACCTCCTCTCGCCCCTCCTTTCTGTAATTGGAAAACCAGAAATAAAACGAAGTCCACTGCTGCCCTGACCTATTTATGTGTCTGACCTATTTATGTGTGTGGGTAAACTTCTTTATTTTCCACCAGTGGTGGGTTGGGATCCCCTGGACTTTTATTTTCTTCATAAAATGACCTTGGCTCTCAGGTCACCAGCCTTAAGTGTAAGAAATTGAATTATTGTTGTCACACACAGATAGGACAAGCAAGGGGCAGTAGGGGTTAGCACTGTTGTTTTTGGACCACGGCCACATTCACATTGGGAGAGGGTAGGAACCGGAAAAGTGGCCTCACTTAGAGATTTCCTAATTCTATTTTTGGCACTCATTTTTCTTACCCCCCCCCCCCCCACAACCGTGTCTTACCTTTCTTCTCTCACCCCTTCTCTTTCCTTTGATCTTCTACTATTCTCCTTTCTCTCTCCATTCTTCCTCTCTTTCTTTCCTTGCCCTCTCTCCTGTCCCATCTCTTCTTTGTCTCCTCTCCATCCTGTCTTTTCATTTTCTCTAGATTTCCTTACCCGCTCCCCTCTCTCATTCTCTCCCCTCCCCCCCCCCCCCCCCCCATCATTTTTGTTTACTGGTTCATCTACGTATTTTTTTGCCCCATAACTATCTTTTCCTAGTGGTTGTGTCCACTACACTTGAAATTGTGGGGGGGGGGGGGGGGGGAGTAGGTGGCTGTTTTTTTTTTCTTTGATGTATCTTCCTGCCCCTCTCTCTTAATCTGTGTTTATCACTGCCTTCCTTACCCACCTCTCTCTCTCTCTTGCTTTATGTCTGTTTGCCTCCCTTCATCACTTCCTCTTTGTATACCTCCCTCCCATTCTCCTGCTCTGCCTTTTTTCTCTTTCTTTGGTTCTCTCCCTCTGTCTGCTTGCCTCTCTGTGCTGTCCCTTTGTCTCTCTCTCTCCTTTATGTCTACATCTCTCTCTGCTTGCATCTGCTTCTCACCCTGTCCGTTCTCTCTCCATCTGTCTCCCTTCTTTCAACTCTTTGTCATAATTTCCTTCTTCCATATCTCTATTTCGTTCCCTTTTTCCTTCTCTTTTCATCTGCCCATCTCTGTATCTGCATTCCCTCTTTCTGTATTTTTTTCCCTCTCTGTCCTTCGCTGTTCCTTCCCCACTTTTCCTCATCATGTCTCCATCCCTCCCTCTCATTTTTTCCTCCTTCCCCAGACTTCTTTTCCTTCTTTTCTCTACCTTCATCTGTCCATATTTACACTGTCTCTCCCAGCCTACCTCAGCATGTGTCTTCCTCTCTCTTCATGACTCTCTCTCTCTCCCCTAACCCTCTCAGGTACCAGGTCCAGAACAGACAGGACTTCAGTTTGCTGCCCTCTACCACCAAGCCCTAAAAAAAATTTCAAACACTATATCAAGCTCAGGGGCCGACCAGCACGAAGATGGGCACAGGATATAAGTGACTCCTTGAGTATAAAAAAAGTACATGAGGCGGGAGAGCTGGTGAGAGACCGGGCTTTTTTTGTCAGGACAAAGGAAATGCTACATGATGATGATATCTGTGCTGGTATACCAACACATGTGGCACAAATGAAGTACCTTGTGTGCTCAGTACACCCTTGAACAAGGCAAAAATCTTGTTTCAGTATTACACCGAGACAACCTTGAAAAAAACTAAGGAGACCTTAAAAAAGACCTTGAAAAGCCTTGAAATTGATAAAGACGGAAAGGTGCCAATGAATGAGAGATAGAGTGGTAGGGATTAATCCTCCAAATAATCCATCTATTTGAGATGGATTGGTAGGGATTGAACACTCCAGCACATCTGAGAACAAGTATCTGTGTCTGAAGTACCTTCATTGTCTCTTTCTGGTCAGCACCAGTTGTTGCAAAACTTCTGGGTTGCTCTCTCCTGCCATCTTATTTTTGCTGCCCATTTCTAAAGAATACATGGACTGAAGAATGGGCATTTTACGCAAGATTATTTAGGGGGAAGGTGGCTGCCTATAGCAAAGGCAGACTAAGCACAAGAAGCAGTAGATGGAAGATGGTGAATACATGTCTGTTTCTGTCCACAGATAATGGCTACCGCACAAAGTTTAAGACACAAACAAAGGATATAGTGTAAGTTATTGAGTTTGCTGTTTATTTTACTTTTGTTTCTCTTTGTCTTCTAGAAAGTACTGGAGAGGTTGAGAAATGCCAGCATGTCTTATAACTCCATGAACGGAAGGCCCCAAGGACACTTCAACTTAGTTCGAACGAACGAACGAACGAACGAACTTCATTTTCAAAGGGTTCCAAATTAGGCACGCAGGCCTGTCTTACATTCGGCCCTTCCAAACTTCCATCTTTGGCACAGCAGTTGTTTTTCATCAATGAAAGGCAGCACATCACCTTCCTTGTCACTAATGCAGCTGTGGGGGTATATCTCTTATGCATGTTATTCCCCAGTGAAGCCCACAACCTCAGAGCCAACTTATGCATGTTATTCCCCAGTTAAGCCCACACCCTCAGCCAACTTATGTTATTCCCCAGTGAAGCCCACACCCTCAGCCAACTTATGTTATTCCCCAGTGAAGCCCACACCCTCAGCCAACTTATGTTATTCCCCAGTGAAGCCCACACCCTCAGCCAACTTATGCATGTTATTCCCCAGTGAAGCCCACACCCTCAGCCAACTTATTTTATTCCCCAGTGAAGCCCACACCCTCAGCCAACTTATTTTATTCCCCAGTGAAGCCCACACCCTCAGCCAACTTATTTTATTCCCCAGTGAAGCCCACACCCTCAGCCAACTTATGCATGTTATTCCCCAGTGAAGCCAATACCTTCAGCCAACTTATGCATGTTATTCCCCAGTGAAGCCCACACCCTCAGCCAACTTATGCATGTTATTCCCCAGTGAAGGGGACACTCTCAGCCAACTTATGCATGTTATTCCCCAGTGAAGCCCATACCTTCAGCCAATGTATGCATGTTATTCCCCCAGTGAAGCCCATACCTTCAGCCAACTTATGCACGTTATTCCCCAGTGAAGCCCACACTCTCAGCCAACTTATGCATGTTATTCCCCAGTGAAGCCAATACCTTCAGCCAACTTATGCATGTTATTCCCCAGTGAAGCCCACACCCTCAGCCAACTTAAGCATGTTTTTTCCCAGTAAAGCCCTGTATGTATTGTTGCGCACATAAACAAAAATTGCTTGCGGCAGTTGGAAATTAAAAAGGATTAGCTTAACGGTGCTGCCTGAGCAAAATTTAGGGTTAAAAATCTACCCAAAATATTTCAGGATCCTCATAGGTGCAACGAAGTTCATGCACTAGTTGTTACCCATGAATTCCTGGTTCTGATTGTTGTTACCTCCCATGAATTCCTGGCTCTGATTGTCATCATCTACCATGAATTCCTGGCCCTGATTGTTGTTACCTCCCATGAATTCCTGGCCCTGATTGTTGTTACCTCCCATGAATTCCTGGCCCTGATTGTTGTTACCTCTCATCAATTCCTGGCCCTGATTTTTGTTACCTCCCATGAATTCCTGGCCCTGATTGTTGTTACCTCCCATGAATTCCTGGCCCTGATTGTTGTTACCTCTCATCAATTCCTGGCCCTGATTGTTGTTACCTCTCATCAATTCCTGGCCCTGATTGTTGTTACCTCTCATCAATTCCTGGCCCTGATTGTTACCTCCCATGAATTCCTGGCCCTGATTGTTGTTACCTCCCATGAATTCCTGGCCCTGATTGTTGTTACCTCCCATGAATTCCTGGCCCTGATTGTTGTTACCTCTCATCAATTCCTGGCCCTGATTGTTGTTACCTCTCATCAATTCCTGGCCCTGATTTTTGTTACCTCCCATGAATTCCTGGCCCTGATTGTTGTTACCTCCCATCAATTCCTGGCCCTGATTGTTGTTACCTCCCATGAATTCCTGGCCCTGATTGTTGTTACCTCCCATGAATTCCTGGCCCTGATTGTTGTTACCTCCCATGAATTCCTGGCTCTGATTGTCATCATCTACCATGAATTCTTGGCCCTGGTTGTTGTTACCTCCCATCAAGTGTGTTTAAATCAAGTGCACTGCTACAGCTGTCTAGTGAGCAAGAGTGAGCACCACTCAGTTTACTTGGAGTGCATTGGGGAGGTAAGCAATAGTTAAGCTTATAGCACTTTGATCTCATATGTGATGGCACAGTGTATAATATAATATCTGTTTCCTGGTATATGCATACATTACCAGTCGTCAAGTGTCATCTTCACACTGAAAGTTGGCTGTAAAGAGTTGCCAGTATCCTTTATCATGTATCTTCACAATGAATTCATGCAAGTTTCTACAGTTCCTCTCTTGATGTTGTCCACCCACATGTCACATTGTCTTCCTTTTGCACACTTTCCTTCAAGCATGTCCATTAACAAGAGGCTTGTTTTTGTGTGTGTGTGTGGCTGCATATCTTAAATTGTCTGACCTTGCTGACATTCAACAGTAAACTCATCTGTTCTGTTTGTATCATGTTTCTTCTTTCTGCCATATTTTGCTATGCACAAACATACTCAAATGCACATTTGGTCTTGCTGTTCACAGATTAGAAGATGATTTTGGAAAGATGAATATCAGAGGTAAGTCTGATACAGATCTGACTGATAATGACAGCAGTCATGAAGTACCAGCCAAACAGGCAAGAAGCAACACTTGTAAATCCACAGCTATACCTGGCAGGCAGCCCCAGTTCCCTCCGTCTGCTGACAATAGTTGCTTGTTCTCTGACATAGCCTCTTCCAGTGATGACAACTATGAGGAGCTGAATGCCAGCATTAGTCCACTGTCAGATCAAAAGTTGCAGCTGTATTCAAAAGATCTTTCCAGTGAATTTTTGAACATTAAAGCCTTGCCAGGAAACATCCAGCAGCAGTTGGATTCTCAGAGTGGGATCGGTGATGCTTCCAGAACGAATGCCTTGCCAGAGAACATCCGACAGCAGTCAAATTCACAGACTGGGAATCCTGTGCCTTACAACAAGAAGAGTCTCGATGAACTGTTTGATAGCTGCCTAGATGAGGATGGGGTGTAATGTGTGTTCTCCAGCTACCTGTGAAAAGTGCTGCCTCCGTAAGGTCAGTAACAATGCAGGGTTACGAAATACAAGCATTATAGAGAAAGTTGGAATAAGACCGTGTTTGAGTTATATTGACAAACAGTAACATGGTCGGGCCATCTAGTGAGAATGCAGCCAGAGTAGACTGCATGTGAGTCTTTTTACAGCAGAACAATTTGGTTTGTCTATTCAAATAAAGTTTCACACTACATACCCGTGTATCCATGTATCAACATCTGTTTGTTTGGGGGGTTTTTTCCCACGACATCACACAAAACATTCTCTGTCTGCTGCCTGTCCTCTGTGCCAAAGTTGTTAATGTGATGTGCTGGTTCGTTGTTTTCCTTGATGTTTTCAGTGGACCTAGTTATCATTTGGAGACAGGATGTTTCATGCTATCTGCCATTCCTTAGTCCCCAGTCCTTTGGTATCCAGGCTGTGTCAGGTCTTGTTGCAGCATTTTGCTTAGAGGAACACATGAGTTAATGTTTTTTTTTTCCAATTCTTTTGCAAAATAGGAAATAGCCAACAGTTTGATAATGAGCTGGCCAGTCTATCTGCATCCTTATATCCCAACACACCGGCATCATCTGGAGAAAATATCCAAAGGACCCAGGACTTCTGAAGTGATGTTTGCCACTACAAGCATGTCTGTCTTCACCTTTCTCGACAAGCTCTGTGAGTCAATTACAATCACAGCATGTCTGTCTTCACCTTTCTCGACAAGCTCTGTGAGTCAATTACAATCACAGCATGTGTGTACAGTTGATTCTTGACAAGCTCTGTGAGTCAATAACAATCACAGCATGTGTGTACAGTTGATTCTCGACAAGCTCTGTGAGTCAATTACAATCACAGCATGTGTGTACAGTTGATTCTCGACATGCTCTGTGAGTCAATTACAATCACAGCATGTGTGTACAGCTGATTCTCCACAAGCTCTGTGAGTCAATTACAATCACAGCATGTGTGTACAGTTGATTCTCAAGCCAGCGGAAGGCAGCAAAGACTGCCTCCACCTCCATTTTCAAACTGGACGTTGTGATATCATATGCAAGGCTTTGCTGTACTAGGCAACATCCATTCGCCTTCGCTATGAACACCCATGCACTTCATCTGCCCCTCAACACAGAGCCATCTATATAGATTATCACATCATTTGGGCAGGAATAATCATGAATCATTTGTTGAACTTCTGATTCTGCAGCACCAGTTGGCCAGTCTCTGTACTCACGACCTAACGTGATTAAAACCCTACACAGGTCTGAAAATTGTTCGGACACCTTAACCCACTCCTCTCCTCGCCTAAATTTATCAAGACTGCACACATGTTCTATTGTGTTTTCAGCTTGCGCCATCTAAGACTTTTCTCTTTTCAGTCTGTGATTTTTAGCTGTACCAAGGGCTTCATGCAGGAGGTGCTTCTGTCTGCAGCTACTCTAAGATATAACCCTTAGCTGTACCCAGGGCTTCATGCAGGAGGTGCTTCTGTCTGCAGCTACTCTGAGATATAACCCTTAGCTGTACCCAGGGCTTCATGCAATAGGTGCTTCTTGTCTGCAGCTACTCTGAGATATAACCCTTAGCTGTACCCAGAGCTTCATGCAGGAGGTGCTTCTTGTCTGCAGCTACTCTAAGATATAACCCTTAGCTGTACCCAGAGCTTCATGCAGGAGGTGCTTCTTGTCTGCAGCTACTCTGAGATATGACTTTGACTGCAGAACTGAAAGGTGTGCAAAATGGAAAAGGTCTTTTACTTTACTTTTGTGTGGGTGGGTGTATGTGTGGCTGGGTGTATATTGTGCATACCAGCTCCCACTCTAACAACCCTCACTAAGCATTAGAGTACCACTTCAAGCCACCAGTTTTGGTGCAACTAACATTTGTTAGCTAACAAAATTGACACAAAGAAACCAGTCCACAATTATAACTGATGCTGCTCATAGTAGGTTACAAGTGGTCAATCTTTTTAGTCATAAATGTATGGATTTAGGGCTGACTAATCTACATATGGTTACTCTGGACAGGTTCTCCAGGGACCATATCTAGACATACTTGGACAAAGAGAAAACCACATAAATAAGCCAACATCATATCCCAGGAAACTATCTAAAACTAACCCGGTCAGCATATACTCAATGAAGTCAGATGTGTCGGCCGAAAGGTGCAAATGTTACAGCTTTGCTGTGAACAGGCACAATGCAATTATATCACTCAAATGAACGAAAAGAAGACACAATGCAGTCAATTCTGTGCTCTGTTTTTGTTTATGTGTCACTTCCATTCATTTGTTGCTGTATCAGTAACAGAAAGTATGCCTAAAAATGTTTGTTTCTTTTTAAATAATATATTTTGTTGTTGTTGTAGTGACTTGGGTGCTGTGATATTGCAGTGGCTAGCAGGTTTGCCTGTCTGCTCTGTGGTCATAGATTTGAACTCTAGATTGTTATTAAAAACTGATGAAACTTAATTTCTTCTGCTTGTCATCTTCTTTCTTAAGGTACAGTTAAAGAAGACTAAGGATGTGTACCTTTCTAACTTGCTTTCTGAAATGTTTTAAGGTTCTTACAGGGCAATAAAGCAAGTAACAGTAGTTTGCAAGACTTCTCATGTCAAATATCCTATCTTTATCTACTGTATGTTCCACTCATCCTGGGTATTATCTTTATCTACTGTATGTTCCACTCATCCTGGGTATTATCTTTATCTACTGTATGTTCCACTCATCCTGGGTATTATCTTTATCTACTGTATGTTCCACTCATCCTGGGTATTATATTCATACATCACACAGGTCAGTATGTCCAAGATTATGGTTGCCTGGCTTGGTGACAGGTCAGTGTGTCCGAGATTGTAGTTTTCTGGCTTGGTGACAGGTCAGTATGTCAGAGATTGTAGTTGTCTGGCTTGGTGACAGATCAGTATGTCAGAGATTGTAGTTGTCTGGCTTGGTGACAGATCAGTATGTCAGAGATTGTAGTTGCCTGGCTTGGTGACAGGTCAGTGTGTCCTAGATTGTGGTCGCCTGGCTTGGTGACAGGTCAGTGTGTCCGAGATTGTGGTTGTCTGGCTTGGTGACAGATCAGTATGTCCAAGATTATGGTTGCCTGGCTTGGTGACAGGTCAGTGTGTCCGAGATTGTAGTTTTCTGGCTTGGTGACAGGTCAGTATGTCAGAGATTGTAGTTGTCTGGCTTGGTGACAGATCAGTATGTCAGAGATTGTAGTTGTCTGGCTTGGTGACAGGTCAGTATGTCAGAGATTGTAGTTGCCTGGCTTGGTGACAGGTCAGTGTGTCCTAGATTGTGGTCGCCTGGCTTGGTGACAGGTCAGTGTGTCCGAGATTGTGGTTGCCTGGCTTGGTGACAGGTCAGTGTGTCCGAGATTGTGGTCGCCTGGCTTGGTGACAGGTCAGTGTGTCCGAGATTGTGGTCGCCTGGCTTGGTGACAGGTCAGTATGTCTGAGATTGTGGTTGCCTGGCTTGGTGGCAGGTCAGTCTGTCTGAGATTGTGGTTGCCTGGCTTGGTGACAGGTCAGTATGTCCGAGATTGTTGTTGCCTGGCTTGGTGACAGGTCAGTGTGTCCGAGATTGTGGTCGCCTGGCTTGGTGACAGGTCAGTGTGTCCTAGATTGTGGTCGCCTGGCTTGGTGACAGGTCAGTATGTCTGAGATTGTGGTTGCCTGGCTTGGTGACAGGTCAGTCTGTCTGAGATTGTGGTTGCCTGGCTTGGTGACAGGTCAGTATGTCCGAGATTGTTGTTGCCTGGCTTGGTGACAGGTCAGTCTGTCTGAGATTGTGGTTGCCTGGCTTGGTGACAGGTCAGTATGTCTGAGATTGTGGTTGCCTGGCTTGGTGATAATGTGAAATGAATATCTCATCTCTAATGTCTTTCTCTCAGCCTCAGTTTTTATGTTAATTCATCACACAAGTCAATATCTCAAAACTGTGTGCACAAGAATGTTTTCATATTTTGTTTTCCAGTGAACAAATTGGCAAGCCAAGAACAAAACATGACACATGTGGCATTCTAGGGCAAAAACAACATTCAGATAAACATTTCAAAAACCAAATAATGAACATAATAAACAACTGGAACTGCAGAGGAACCAAAATATGTGATGCTTTAACAAAAAACAAAAAAAAAATATATATATATATAAAAAAGCAGTTGTATGATAAAAAGTATGAAAATTCATTGTAATGTTTCAGCCACTGGCTGCAATAATATATGATGTGTCTGGCTTTACGAAGATAATGTCAACATGGACAATAATATATGATGTGTCTGGCTTTATCGGAGATACATGTCAACATGGACAATAATATTTAAAGTCTGTTCAAAAAGTATCCAACCTGTAGCCATGAAAAAAATACAATTAGTTTCGTGGAGCTCTGAAACTTTTAATGCTTTTATCTCTTTGAGTCACCTGGAGCTCTGAAACCTTTAATACTCTGATCTCTTTGAGTCACCTGGAGCTCTGAAACCTTTAATGCTTTTATCTCTTTGAGTCACCTGGAGCTCTGAAACCTTTAATAACTCTGATCTCTTTGAGTCACCTGGAGCTATGAAACCTTTAATACTCTTATCTCTTTGAGTCACCTGGAGCTATGATACCTTTAATACTCTTATCTCTTTGAGCTCTGAAACCTTTAATACTCTTATCTCTTTGAGCTCTGAAACCTTTAATACTCTGATCTCTTTGAGCTCTGAAACCTTTAATACTCTGATCTCTTTGAGCTCTGAAACCTTTAATACTCTTATCTCTTTGAGTCACCTGGAGCTATGAAACCTTTAACACTCTTATCTCTAATTAACTAACTAACTATACTTCAATGCAGAAATCTTATATGTCAAATATCTCCCTTTGTAAGAAATATTCATGTGAAAGACACCTGATATACAAAACTATTATATTAAATCATTTCAAAAATGTATCACTTTGAGAATATTATTGCACTGTGTAAAAACAAATTT